AAGTGTTACACATTTTTGTTTGAAATAATTTGATAATAATTTAGTTCCTTTGTCAGGTCAGAGTTTAAAAATGACATTTTTTGGATTTCAACGCAAGTATATGCTGTTAATGTACTAAGGACTATTATTATTCCTATGCTGAATAAGCATTATCTTTAGTTAATTAACAGTAGACAGCTGACAGGGATCCTAGCATTATGGCATCATAAGAAACCATTCAGTGCATAGTCTCTTAGGGCCCTTCCACACAGCCCTATATCCCAGAATATCAAGCCAGAAAACCCCACATTATCTGAATTTGGATTCAGATAAACCAGTTCAAAGAAGATATCGTGGGATTTTCTGCCTTGATTTTCTGGGATATAGGGCTGTGTGGAAGGGCCCTTAGTGACTGGAATCACTTATGACACCAGTGGAGGAAATATTCCTCTCAGCGAACATCAGCTTATTTTGCTTTCAGCATATGTAGTACAGCATGATTCTTGATTTGCTAGGATTAACCTAGAAAAGAATCCAGGACCCCGATGAAAGTGAAAAACCGTGAATCAAAAAATGATGTTTTCTTTTAACCCGAGAGAACATCTTTCTGTGTATCTCTAGGTCATCCAGCATGGCTGTATGATCAAATTCAACCAGATTGCTTTGGAGGACTTAAAGATTCCTAGAATTGGGTTCTCTCTAGGAATTTCTGGGTCAGGAACGGGCAAACTTTTTGCCTTGAGACCTCATTGCGGCTCTGGCTGAAAGAGAAGTTGGAGAAGCCCCATTTCTTAATGATGGACAGCAGGAGACTGGAAGGGATGCAACGGGCAGCTAGGGGAAGGTTTTTTTTTCTCCTTTTGCCAGTACACGTGTGCATTCAGGCTGAGTGTGGCCAGTTGCGTGATGCACAACTCAAACTTGTGCACCAGCTGCAACCATACCTCGTGAAGTCCCACTTGGCCAGGGTGGTCCACACCTTGGTTACATCCAGACTGGCCTACTGCAATGCGGTCTACGTGGGGCTACCCTTGAAGACGGCCCAGAAGTTTCAACTGGTACAACGAGCAGCAGCCAGGCTCCTTACTGGAGCAAACTATAGGGAACATACAACGCCCCTATTAAAACAGCTTCATTGGCTGCCAATAAGTTGCCGAGCCAAATTCAAGGTGCAGGTCATGACCTATAAAGCCCTAAACAGTTCGGGCCCCGCCTATCTCCGCGATCACATCTCCTTCTATGAATTGGTGTGAAGTCTAAGATCTTCCGGGTAGAATCATAGAATCATAGAATCAAAGAGTTGGAAGAGACCTCATGGGCCATACAGTCCAACCCCCTGCCAAGAAGCAGGAATATTGCATTCAAATCACCCTGACAGATGGCCATCCAGCCTCTGTTTAAAAGCTTCCAAAGAAGGAGCCTCCACCACACTCCGGGGCAGAGAGTTCCACTGCTGAACAGGCTCTCACAGTCAGGAAGTTCTTCCTAATGTTCAGGTGGAATCTCCTTTCTTGTAGTTTGAAGCCATTGTTCCACGTCCTAGTCTCCAGGGCAGCAGAAAACAAGCTTGCTCCCTCCTCTATGGCTTCCTCTCACATATTTATACATGGCTATCATATCTCCTCTCAGCCTTCTCTTCTTCAGGCTAAACATGCCCAGCTCCTTAAGCCGCTCCTCATAGGGCTTGTTCTCCAGACCCTTTATCATTTTAGTCGCTCTCCTCTGGACACATTCCAGCTTGTCAATATCTCTCTTGAATTGTGGTGCCCAGAATTGGGCCCTCCTTTCGCTCCCACCACTGTCACACGTACTGTTGGTGGGGACGAGAGAGAGGGCCTTCTCAAAAATAAGGCCACTTAAAGTAGAAGAGCATTATTTAAAAAGGCACAGGCTACCACGACAAATCATTGACAGATCTGACCGTTTCTGTGAAGTTACAATATTTATGCACTTCTAAACATTTCAAGCACATTATTCTAATTCATCCAAAGGCCATAAGACGGTTATACTCTTTGTGGTCCTTTCTCTCTTTGGTCAAGCAATTAAAATATTGTCTTATACCCACATTTCCATCTTTCACATGAGAAAGACCTTTGTTAAGAGAGCATAGCAGTATTGATACATAATATAACACTCTACAAACTACAATTTTCACATCCCAACGATTTTTTTCTTGGTGTCTAAATTTTTAGCCCTGCTCTTGGGGTCATTTGGGGTGATGATTCAGAAAATTGCATCAAAGAACCACATCAGCTCTAGCTTCTTAGATATGGTTGTGATGGTTTTCTATGAGCGAGCAGATGAAAACTGCTACATGGCTTTTCTTCTATATCTCCAAAACTGGAGCTGGTAGGGGGAAGCACAAATTTTGGAATCAGCAGATCAAACATACCCAGAAACGGGTCTAACATTTGAGGAACCAATATGTGTGTTGGCCAGTGCTATATATCAAGCATGAAGTATTGTTATATCAAGCACTAGTATATGAAGCATAGAAGATTCTAATCATAGGATCCTGACAAAAAGAATGGGTTAGGATCATGGCTACTTGTCAAAGGCTTAGGCCCAATTTATCTGAAAGAAATTGTTACTGTTATTTTTTGTTCATAATGTTACTCTGTATGTTGTTGCTTGGAAACCGCCCTGAGTCCCCCTGGGGAGATAGAGCAGTATATAAATAAAGTATTATTATTATTATTATTATTATTATTATTATTATTATTATTATTCCCTTGCCTGGGTGCTGATGTGAAGGGAGCTTTGCAGCCCTCAGCCTTGCTGGGCTTGGTGGGCCTTGCTCACCCAGCACTGGCCCCTTCTTTCTGCCGCAACACAGGGCACCTTTCATGTGACCCCATCTGCATGCCCACCCGCCAAATAGGCAAAGGCGCCCCGCAGCCATAGCAGAAAGAAGAAGGGGCAGCGCTGGGTGAGCAAGGCCTGCCTCGAAAAGCACCTCCCGCCTTCCCTATGCCTGACCCAGCAAGGTTGAGGGCTCCCTTTCTGCTAGTGCCCAGGCAAGAGGTAGAGAAGGAAAGAAAAAAGGGAAGGAAGGAAAGAGGGAGAGAAAAAAGGAGAGAAAGAAAGAGAGTGGGAAAGGAGGAAGGGAAGAGAGAAGGAAGAATGGAAGCAAAGATGAAAGGAAGGAAGGAAAGAGGTACAGAAATAAAAAAGGAGAGAAAGAAGGAAAAGAAAAGGGGGAAGGGAGGAAGTAAAGAGAGAAGGAAAGAAAAAAGGAAAAAAGGAAAGAGGGAGGAAGAAAAGAAGGAAGGAGAGAGAGAAAGAGGGAAGGAAGGTTGGCCACACCTTACTTACAAGCTGGAATGTGTCCAGAGGAGAGCGACTAAAATGATAAAAGGTCTGGAGAACAAGCCCTATGAGGAGCGGCTTAAGGAGCTGGGCATGTTTAGCCTGAAGAAGAGAAGGCTGAGAGGGGATATGATAGCCATGTATAAATATGTGAGAGGAAGCCACAGGGAGGAGGGAGCAAGCTTGTTTTCTGCTTCCTGGAGACTACGACGCGGAACAATGGCTTCAAACTACAAGAGAGGAGATTCCATCTGAACATGAGGAAGAACTTCCTGACTGTGAGAGCCGTTCAGCAGTGGAACTCTCTGCCCAAAGTGTGGTGGAGGCTCCTTCTTTGGAAGCTTTTAAACAGAGGCTGGATGGCCATCTGTCAGGGGTGATTTGAATGCAATATTCCTGCTTCTTGGCAGGGGGTTGGACTGGATGGCCCATGAGGTCTCTTCCAACTCTTTGATTCTATGATTCTATGATTAGGCGATCCCTCGTTGGACGAGTAAGATGGTCTTCCATCATGGGTTTCCCTGTGGGTCCGTAGGTGGCTGTGGAGCCCTATTCTTGCTCTGCATCTTCTTCCGCAGTGAGGGCATTGGTTTCCAGGTGGAAGGCGGTCCTGGTCGGGGTTGGCTTGACGCGCCTTCCTCCTGGCACGTTTCTCTCTTTCACCCTCCACTCGTGCCTCCTCGAATTCTGCAGCACTGCTGGTCACAGCTGACCTCCAGCTGGAGCGCTCAAGGGCCAGGGCTTCCCAGTTCTCAGTGTCTATGCCAGAGTTTTTAAGGTTGGCTTTGAGCCCATCTTTAAATCTCTTTTCCTGTCCACTCCGTTTTCCGTTCTTGAGTTCGGAGTAGAGCAACTGCTTTGGGAGACGGTGGTCGGGCATCCGGACAATGTGGCCGGCCCAGCGGAGTTGATGTTGGAGGACCACCGCTTCAATGCTGGTGGTCTTTGCTTCTTCCAGCACGCTGACGTTTGTCCGCTTGTCTTCCCAGGAGATTTGCAGGATTTTCCGGAGGCAGCGCTGATGGAATCATTCCAGGAGCTGCATGTGACGTCTGTAGACAGTCCACGTCTCACAGGCATATAGCAGGGTTGGGAGGACAATAGCTTTATAGACAAGCACCTTGGTATCCCTACGGATGTCCCGGTCCTCAAACACTCTCTGCTTCATTCGGAAAAATGCTGCACTTGCAGAGCTCAGGCGGTGTTGTATTTCGGCATCGATGTTGACTTTGGTGGAGAGGTGGCTACCAAGGTAGCGGAAATGGTCAACATTTTCTAATGTTACACCATTAAGCTGTATCTCTGGCATTGGAGAGGGATTGGCTGGTGACTGCTGGAACAGCACTTTGGTTTTCTCGATGTTCAGTGACAGGCCAAGCTTTGTGTATGCTTCTGCAAAGGTGTTGAGAGTGGCTTGTAGATCTTCTTCTGTATGCGCACAGACGACATTGTCATCAGCATACTGGAGTTCTATAACAGATGTTGTTGTAACTTTGGTTTTGGCTTTCAGTCTGCCACACCAACGCGTGGCAGGTACAGCTAGTTTAGTTATATATTCCTACATGGCAGGGCGTTGGACTAGATAGCTCTGGTAGTCTCCTCCAATTTCAATATTCTACGATAAAGAGAATAGCGGTTGCCCTTTTGCAGATAAAAGTGAATGGCTTGAAGCAATATTTGAAAAGCTAATCAAAACTTCCCATTTGTTACAGAACAATCATTTCTCTGACTTCGTGGATAAACAAACTGGCTATACAACTAAAAATATGCTGGCAACTCCAATAATTCTAAACAAAGAAGCTCTTGCTGTGATAATGGCCCTTAACAAGAAAACTGAGCCTGAGTTCTCTAAAGAGGATGAAGAAGTAAGTATTGACCTCATTTAAAAAAGGAATTCAGTGATCCCATTAACAATACGGGAATTTAGAAAATGTCTCCAAATCCCCTGAATGCAAATCAAGTGTAAATAATACTTTACAATGGAAGATGTTTTGGATAATGGCATGAGTATTGTATTTTTTAAAGAAGCATAACAGTTGGTAACACCATTACTTTTTAAAAAGTAGTTAGTACAATTTACACGCTACTTCTAAAAATAGGGTCGTCATTTGGGAAAATTTGGGCCCATTTTTCTTTTTTCAAATTTATATTTTACAAAATATCAAAAAAAAATCTAACTCAAATGCTATGTGTCACTACTGTATGTTATCATTGATCAAGAAATGAGTTACAGGTAATGCTTAAAATACTCCTTTGGGAAAGTGTTGATTCATGCCCAATGTGCAACTTTTTTTTAAAAAAAAATCCAATTTCCGTACTTTTCTACTCAGAAGTAATATCTAGCGAGTTCCAAGTAAATGAATATTGGATTAGCGAGTATGGGTTGGGAGACTCTTAGAAACCTTATGTAAACTTCTTTGGTCTTTCCGTGAAAGAGCTCAATACAAATCTTTACAAAGCTACCGATCCCAGTGACAAGATAACTATGTCCATAATTATTATTCAAATGAATAATTAAATTCGAGGTGTTTAATTTTGGCTGATTCACATTCATAATCATTTATCTTACATTTCTTTTCATCACTTTTATTTCCCATTACAGGTTTTTAAGAAATACATTAATTTTATTTCGATCGCTATAAAACACCACCACATTTCAAACATGTACAATTTGGAATTGAGAAAAAGTCAGGTAAAGTCATCTTTATGTATTTATCTTAATGAATAATTGCGTAAACCCCTCTTATCATTTGTTTTGCTACGTTTTCATGCTTTCATGTACCCGTGCAAACACTGAGATCTTCTTCAAAGGTCCAGTTCTGCAGACTAAGCACACTCTATTGAGATGTGGAATGGTGTCCACAAAAAAAAAGTGTGCTTGACATTTTCTTTATAGTAAACTAGTAATCCCCTGCCACACATTGCTGTGGCCCAGTCTGTGTATATGTGTTTTGTGTGTGTATATGTGTGTATATATATTTGTGTATATGTGTATATATGTGTGTTTGCATATATGTGTGTGTGTGGTTTTGCATATTTTTTATTTTTAGGCTTTTAAAGTCTCTTCTGTTGTGTTTTTTAGGGTTTTTATGACTGATGGTCACTCATTGGCCTAATCGGTGTATTCTGTCCAAATTTGGTGTCAATTCGTCCAGTGGTTTTTGAGTTATGTTAATCCCACAAACCAACATTACATTTTTATTTATATAGATTTGTTTCTGCAAAATGAATTGTCAAAATCCTATGCCAAATCCAGCTTTTGCAGACCAATTTGTATTCAGGTGAATATAAATTGGTCAGCATGGCGTAGTAGTTTCATGCTGGACTTTGACTCTAGACACTAGGATCTGAATTCCTGCTCATCCGTGGTAAAACACTGAATGTCCTTTGCCAAGCCCTACACTTTCAGGACCTCATCACATTGAGATCCAGATTCACCATGCATCATGGCAAATCCGGCAAGGCCTGGCGGGTGGATCTTGTCGCTCCGCACCCCACATTGCTTGGCCTCCCCCTCACCCCATCCCACAGGGGGAAGTGGCTGCCGCCTGGCTTCCCCCCATTGTTGCCTATGCAACACAGGAAGCCTCTTGTGTTGCTGCCGTGGCAGCTTACAACTCTCCCTCTTTACTTGCGCCACAGAATCCCACCGGAAGTAGATCTACATCATGGGATGGGAGCCAGCAGGCTCCGTGCTGCATGTGAAGAGGGAGTGTTGTACAACAGGCAAGTTTACCCATCTGATGAGGTTGCAAGTTGGAGAGGAAGTAATAGTCAAACCTTTTTGAAAACAAGAAAGCCCTGTAAAAGATTTGTCTCAGGCTTGCTATAAGTCATAAAACAATTTGAAGCCCTATTACATTGGCCAGGTTCCGTTCTGGAAGCATTTTTCGACAAACATTATTTCTGCGGAAGCAGTCTGACGGATAAAGTTTATGGGGGAAAGTCAGGCAATGTTTTTTCAACATGACCATGTAAGGAAATGTGAAGTGATGTGATGTAAAAGGAAAGGAATAGCACTGGGCTTTGTTCACTGACAGTTTTAATATCAGCAGCATCTCTAATCACAATGCTAAAGGGAAGGGATGTGTGTGATTATTGAAGTTATAGACAACAGCACCAATAATGGGTTTATCTTCTTTGCTAGAAACACAACCATTTATGCTGCAATTGCTTGTTTTTTTTTATTAATTACACACCCTGTACAATCACTACTTGACTATAAGAACCTTATCACATTGAGGTCAGAAGTGGGGGTGATAGCAGGGGGATTTGCCATGGATCATGGTGAATCTTGTGAGAGGCTGGAGGAATCTGGTGCCCCGCATTGCCCCTCGCCTCATCCAATGGGAGGGGGTGAGTGTCGCCACCTGTCATTCCCCCGTTCTTCTCTATGCAACACAGGAAGTTTCCCATGTTGCTGCCGCTGCCTTTTACAATAGTTTGACCTCACTTCAGGCACCCACCGAAAGTAGATCAACATCATGTGATGGGATCTGGTGGGCTCAGTGCCTGAACTGCTCTAGGACTGGCAATTTTGCCCGTGTGATGAAGTCATAAGTCTCTGCTGTTGTCCTTTCATTGGGCTTCCTTTTTCCCTCCCATACTAATAGCACTGGGGCACCTATGAGAGTTGTGCTGAAGTTTTGGGAAGGTAATGGCTCTTCTTTTATCTTAGATGCAAAACTACAGCCAAATGATTCTCGGGATGCCTTGAGTTATCTTTTGCCCCAGTACCATGAACCGAGAATCATTATTCACTGTACTGGATAGCTCCTTCTGCAATGACCTTCAAGTACATGTGCTGGCATAACAGGAGGTTACATCGACATATATCACTAAGAGAGCTCTAGCTCTGGTATATAGTGAATTGTTATGAGAATATTGGTATTTGGCAACCAAAATTATTAATGTGATGTAGTGGTTTGGACATTGGACAATGACTTTGGAGGCCAGGGTTCGATTTCCCACTCAGTCATGAAAACCCACCGGGTTTATTTATCGTGTCAGGGGCAACCAGACCATTGTATTATATTTCTAACAGAACAAAACAAACAAATAGATTAAAAAACACAAAGTTTGCAAACTTGGTAGTTGATTAAATGTCCTTTGACCAGTAGCTGGCCACTTGGAGTGCCTCTGGTGTTGCCGCAAGAAGGTCCTCCATTGTGCATGTGGCAGGGCTCAGGTTGCATTGCAGCAGGTGGTCAGTGGTTTGCTCTTCTCCACACTGGCATGTCGTGGATTCCACTTTGTAGCCCCACCGGGTGATCTTGGGCCAGTCACATACTCTCAACTCCAGAAAACCTTGATAGAGTTGCCTTAGGATGTCCATAAGTCAAAAACGACTTGAAGACACACAACAACATAATTAATGGTAATGATTCATGGAATCTTTAAAAAATGTGAAAACACTGGCCTGAATCTAATAGTTAGTCCCACCTACAGTAGACTCATTAAGTATCAATGGATGTGGCCACTTGAATAGATCCATCAAAGGATCTATTCTACTGGAATTGGATGGTTGTTATTGTGGTAAATGACTTCAATATGCCCTATTCTCCCATGTAGAATTGTTTTCTGTCAGCATGTCACTGCTATCAGCAAAAAGTTTAATTTTGTCTCTATATCCTCCCCCTCCCTTTCTTAAACAGATGCTTTTGTGGTGTGGCAACAAAGTGTTTGAAGAACTTACAGATATTGAGCGACAGTTTCATAAAGCATTGTACACTATCAGAGTTTACTTAAACTGCGAAAGGTATTCTGTTGGCCTGCTGGACATGACCAAAGAAAAGGTGAATAAAATTTTGTTTACTATCAAAAATAAAGATTTAACTCTCCTCTTCCAATGTGCACTGCTAGGAAAGGAACTTTTTTCAATGCAAATTATAATTGAAGCCTACATTTATTTATATTATTTATTTACAACATTTTTTATCCCGCACTTTTCAGCCCAAAGGTGACTCAGGGTGGCGTAGAGATTGGCAACAATTAAATGCTACAACATACATACATACATACATACATATCAATTAAAAACATTTAGTATCACATCATAAAAATCCATATAAAACTACTTAAAACTATAATAATCAATATCTTCCAGTTCAACTCCATATTATATGAGGAAATATATTTAACGATGATATTAAAAGAAACTTGCTTGTACATTCACTCCCATTAAAGTCATTAGGACTGATTTCTTTAGTTAAAATAGCTTCCTTCAAATGTAAATCTGTTATTTGAATAATATAAAATGTAGTCGCCTTCGGGCTTGAGATACAGCGGTATATAAGCAAAGTAAATAAATAAATAAATAAATAAATAAAATCCATGTAGGATATATTGCATGGATACACAACACTGCAGGTAATAGTTAACCCTACTGTACATACAATAGAGTCATGTCTGAGAACGTAGAAAATGCCTGGAGAGAACAAATTGAAATTTAATCCAGATAAGACAGAGGTACTCCTGGTCAGTCAAAAGGCTAAACAAGGTATAGGGTTATAGCCTATGCTGGATGGGGTTACACTCCCCCTAAAGACACAGGTTCGCAGCTTGGGAGTCCTCCTGAATTATTTGCTGAGCCTGGAACCCCAGGTTTCTGTGATAGTCAGGTGGACTTTCGCACAATTAAACGTATGCCAGTTGCACCCGTACCTTTGGAAATCAGACTTGGGTATGGTAGTCCACGCTCTTGTTACATCTGGAGTAGACTACTGCAGTGCACTCTATGTGGGATTGCCTTTGAAGAATGTTTGGAAGCTCCAAGTAGTCCAACGGGAAGCAGCCAGACTGCTCACTGGAGAAGCGTACAGGGAGCGGACATCCCTCTTGTTATGTCAGTTCCATTGGCTGCGAGTTTGCTACCTAGCACAATTCAAAGTGCTGGCTTTGGTCTATAAAGCCCTGGCCCAACTTACCTATCCAAACTTATCTCTCCCTATGAACTAGCTAGACCGTTAAGATCTGCCAGGGGACCCTACTCTCGATCCCACGTCCTTCACAGGTGCGATTGGTGGGGATGAGAGGCAGGCCTGCTCAGTGGTGGCCCCTCAACTATGGAATTCTCTTCCCAGTGACTTTAGACTGGCCCCCTCCCTCCTGATATTCAGGAAAAAGTTGAAGACCTGGCTATGGCACCAGGCGTTTGGGAAATAGTGCAATATGGAATGCAACACAAATGTAGCAGCACTAATGACAATTGTGGGTCTAGACACTATGTTTTTAATCCATTCTAATTGTATTTATATGCTTTTATCTGTTTTTATTACTCGATGTGTTTATTTATATTTGTAATGCGGTATTGAATTTTGCCATATCTGTAAGTCGCTCTAAGCCGCCTTTGGGGTGAGAAAAGCATGGTAAAAGTATAGTAGTAAGTAAAATATTTTATTTACTTTAGTAAATGAAACTGTAGATATTGCTCCCTTAGATACAGGGGTCATAGCGTACATTCAAATTCAGTTTCTAAAAACAAATATTTGAAACAATCCCCATAAAAACTTTTCCAAAATATTTCTGGCACTACCATGCAATTGTAGTCTACCACTATAATTCTATATGCATTTAGTCTACTTAGGTATATTTGACTTCTCTAGGATTGGAGTGGCCTGACTGAAAGAAAGCCAAACCTTTATTTACCAGTATCTTATTGATTTTTGTTTTTGAAGCAGCTACTGTGACATACTGGTTTCAGTGTCGAACTAGACCAGAGTTCAAGTCCCTGCTCAGCCGTGCAAACTGAGAAATGTATTCTAAGTCCATCTTGCCACAAAATTTCTTTGATAGGATCATTGTCTGTCGGAATTGACAAAAGTACATACAAGCCTATTTTCATATTGTTAAAATACAATAAATAAGCAAATAATATCAAGTGAATTGGAAATGTTTTACAGGCACAAGATCCCTGCAAAAGTGAAACATTGGAAATAATAAAAATGCTATTTTCTAGTAATCTTTAGCTTCTTCTGCAGGATGTAATTAATATCAACGCCTGGCAGAAGTTGGTCATAGGGTCACACTGGAGGACTTAGAGATTCTTAGAGAAGTAATAATTAATTATTGCAGTCCTACGACAGAGGCTTGAAATTATTCCTCATTTATTTACATGTGTAATGTAATGCAGTTATCCTGTTGCTATAGGCAAAAGATACTTATGAAAATTCATTGTAACTTGTCACTTCTGAGTGGAACTTTTTGCTAACTCATTTGTGGTGTCTTTCAGGAATTCTATGATGAGTGGCCAATTAAGTTGGGTGAAGCAGAACCATACAAAGGACCCAAAACACCGGATGGCCGAGTGAGTAGAGGGTTATTATTATTATTATTATTATTATTATTATTATTATTATTATTACACTATGTAACACAATTTTTGTTCCTGGGTTATAAATGTCATTTCCTGATTGATTCTATCATAAAACATGGAAAAAGTTGGTAAAGGTAAAGGTATCCCCTGATGTTAAGTCTTATTGTGTCTGACTCGGTGAGGGGGAGGGGGGCAGTGGTGGTGATCATCTCCATTTCTAAGCCGAAGACCCGACATTGTCCATAGACACCTCCAAGGTCATGTGGCAGGATATATTAATTTACTCACATTTGCATGTTTTTGAACTGCTAGGTTGGCAGAAGCTAGGCCTAACTGCGGGAGCTCACCCCGTTCCTCAGATGCACAATTAAACAGGAAATGACACTTTCAAATCAGGAACGATTTTTTCCCCCCAAATTTTGTTACATAGCATTATTATTAACAGGACCAATCGCCATTTTGGAATGCTGTTTTGTTTTTCAGATTGTTATAATGCTTTCTCCCCTTGCATTTAGGAAGTCAACTTTTATAAAATAATTGATTACATTTTACATGGAAAAGAAGAAATCAAAGTTATTCCGTGAGTCCTTATCATTAGTTCGTTAGTAGTTAGCTGCGCCTGTTTAGGTCCCAAATGCTAACTTTATCTAATTGTATTTTTCAAGGTCACCTCCTGCAGACCACTGGTGTCTTGCTAGTGGATTGCCAACGTATGTTGCCGAAAACGGCTTTGTAAGTTTCAATTTTTCTTTCGTGCTTCATTGCAGTTCAGTACACTTGCTGGGTTGGCCATGCATCATGTGGATTATTATACAAAGTAATCGCAACCTAACAACAATCTAAGTATAGCTCTAAGTTCAAAGACCCCATCACACAACAAAATTGTAAGATTCCATCACAATTAAAGTGCAATAAGGGTACTATAATGGTGTAATGTGAATGTGTCCCCAGCAGGGAACAGGTTAGGAATATCTTCTAACCTGTTTCATGTCTGTTGTCATTTAAGAAATGATGAAAATGATGAGGACAATGATGTGAGAAGAACAATGACGATGATGATAACCATTCTGTCTTTTCTTTCTTTTGATGGTCAACATCCTGCTTTATTATTATTTTGTATCAAAAGCATTGCATAAATTAGTATAAAACTGATAAAAATAGAAGGAGTGCAGATATTTGTAATCTTTTGACCAAAAATGGGCAACAGCAACGGCATTGTCTGTAGGCTCAAACAATTCTTCCTCCGTACATAAGGCAGGGCATAGTGGACAAGCATACAGATGTGGAGTTGTCTGTTCTGCTCCACAGTCACACAAGGTGTGGGATTCGTTTAGGTAGTGCCATTTTGCCAGGTTGTCTTTTGATCTGCCCACTCCACTTCTGAGTCTGTTCAGGAATTTCCAAGTTGCCCATTCTTGGTTTGCCCCTGGAGGAAGACCCTTGTGGGGGGGGGGCATCCAGTTGGGATTTCCTGGTTTAGCTGCCCAGAGTGATACCCTTGCTGTTGCTGGAGGAACGCCAAGAGGAGTGATAGTTCTCATAAAGCTTTTCCTTGATTTGAATCTACTGGGAGGAGGCTGGTAGCCATGTAGTGGGTGGCTTTCACAGTGTTCAGCCTTATTTCTCTTATTAGCAGCAACTTCCAGTTGCACATCAGGGGGGGCAATGCCAGCTAGCTTGTAGAGTTTATCAACAGGTGTAGGTTTAAGACATCCTGTTATTGTTTTGCATGTTTCGTTCAATGCTATGTTCACCTAATTTGCGTGGGCAGACTTGTGCCAAACAGGGCAGGCATACTCGGCAGTTGAGTAAGACAAGGCTAGGGCTGATGTTCTTATTAATTTTGGGTCTGTACCCCATGTGCTGCCAGTGAGTTTTCGCAGGATGTTATTGCGTGCAGCTACTTTGTGCTTGGTGTTCAAGCAGTGTTTCCTATATGCTAGTTTTCGATCTAAGGTGACACTGAGATATTTAGGATGGAAACAATGTTCCAGCTCTTGGCCTTCCCAGGTGACTATCAATTTCCCGTTGGCTTCATGGTTGCAAAGGTGGAAAACACACACTTGTGTCTTGGCAGAGTTAGGCTTCAAGCGCAAGATAAGCAACATCCTGCTTATCTTGCACTTCCCCAAATAATGATACTAGGGGCCCGTCCAGACAGGGCCTTTATTGCGGGAACTCCCACAATAAAGGAGGCGATGTCCAGACAAAGCTCTGGACAGTCCTGAATTAATTCACTACAAACAGAAAAACCCTGGTTTGTAGCAAATTAATTTGATAGTGGATTTATTCCGCGCCTTCTTGGAAGGCACGAGATAAATCCACTATATCTGGGTCTGGACTGCAGAATACTTTCTTAGATGGGTATGGACAGGCCCCCAAAAACATCTGCGTTATTTTAATGCAGATGCTTCTGGGATAAAGGCTTGTCTGGCTCCGGCCTAGAAGTTGGCTTATAATTAAAACCTGTCAGCTAATGTGGTCTTCAGATGGCCATGAAACCCATTGGGTGAACCAGGACAAGTCACACTATCTCAGTCATAAAAATGGCAAACCTGTTTGACGAAATCTTGTCACGAAAATCCCATTATAGTGTTGCCATAAGTTGGAGCTGACTTGAAGGCACATAATATCAACAAGTAAAACTTTTAAAAGTTATTGTTAAAATTAATTTAAACAATATATACAAGTGTTTTTATTGTGTCAGAAGCGACTTGAGAAATTGCAAGTCATTTCTGGTATTAGACAATTAGCCGTCTGCAAGGACATTGCCCAGGGGGCACCCGGATGTGAAACCATCCTGTGGGAGGCTTCTCTCATGTCCCTGCATAAGAAGCTGGAGCTGATAGACAGGAGCTCACCCCGTCTTACAGATTCGAATCATCAACCTTCAGGTCAGCAGTTCAGCTGGCACAAGGGCTTAGCCCATTGTGCTACCATGGTTCCTTATACAATCAAACTTAATACTTAATTTATAGCTCCTTATATTTTGTTTACAGTAAGGATAATATTTTTCCTAATTCCATTCTCTTATAAATGGCATGAGACTTGTGAAATTGTGCTACTTTGTACAATAACAAAATTTTATAAATCATACTTTCAATTTCTTGCCCTTTTTTGCTTCCACTAAGACACTGAAGATAGAACAACTAAGCAAGTCCTTTGATTGCTGATTGCTTTTTAATGGATGGAAAATGTTGGAAAATATTCAAAAATTTACTGACAAACAAGTTGTATTGTTTCAAAACCAATGAGAACAATTTTGGATTGATGAGAATGTTTGCAATTCTTAATTTATGCTAATCAAAATTTGTATGTAGTTGTTTTGCATGTGCGCACGCACACACACAAACCCTAAAGATTTTCTGTTTGGGAAACAGATTTTTTTTTCTGCACAGAAATATGTGCCAAAAAATCAGTTTCCAAAACAGAAAATGCAACTGTTGGGAACATTTCATGCTTAAAGACAGAAAACTGCAGAAAATACATTTTCAGTTAGAAAATATATTTCTTGCACAAGAACTGCTCAGTTGTGTGCATGTGTGTGTGTGTTTGTGTGTAAAACAACTACATCCATTCTTTTTGCACAGAATAGGTTCTGAATTGTGAATAGCTTTGGAAGATGTTGGTTTTTTTTCAAAGTTCTTCCTTCTCATCGCTGAAAGAAAATGGCTAAAATTACTCAATGCAGCCTTTGACAAGAATTATATATTCATTATTCATTAATTGTAGCATTACTTCTTTTGGGGATCTTCATTCCATCTATATGTGTCATAAGATAGAAGAACATACTTGGCACAACTGCTATAAACGCCAGATTTTAAGAATTAAAAGCATATGTTTATTTAATGTCTTCTTCTCTCTAGATCTGTAATATGATGAATGCACCCGCAGATGAATACTTCAATTTTCAGGTAACCTTCTATTTTATTGTGTTGCATACACCAACCTGCCATCCAAATAATATTAAGTAACAGTATTTCACATCTTAAGCGGTGGGCATCAACTTCCCCTTGTACACATGTGGATTATTCTTGTTATTATCAAATGCAAACTGGTATTATCCACCTCTATGATTCTTGGAACTGGGGCCAGGACTATAAAGTCAAAGGTTTCCCCTGACATTAAGTCTAGTCTTATCCGACTCTGGGGTGGGGTGTGTAAAGATCCCTTACCTTGCCATCCAGGGTGGCAGGGCCCCAGGAGAAAGTCAGGCTAGGTAGTTTAGCTTGGAAGGCCTGGCAGAGTGCTGCTGGAGCCATTTTAGAGTAGGGAAAAGCTCCAGGGCAGAAGGGGGAGTGGCTGAGGCCTGTGCCAGCCCAGCAACAGCTAGGATTGGTTTAGAGAATAGGGGCGGAGTTAGGCAGAAGGAGGGAAAGAGAACAGTGAGATTTGACAGTTTTAGAGTTAGTTCAGCTGAGTTCTGAGAAGAGTAGAGAGCAGTTTGAGTTCTGAGAGAGAGATTAGTGTAGAAGTTGGATTGTTTAGGAGTCTCTGTTTAAAATAGGCAGTTTGCCTTTGGTCTGTACAGCACAGTAGGCTGTGACAGACTGAGATTACAGCTACTTTTGAGGAAAAATAGCTGGGTTCTGTGTTTATTGAAACTGTAACTAAGAAAGAACATTCTCTCTAGAAACCAATACGCTTATAAGAAACAAGAACACTTTTATTCTGTAACCATCAAGCCTCAGTACCTGCATTCTCGTGTTATTCAGTAATTGTAATCAATAAACTCTTTCTTATTATTTTTAAACTTAAAGCCTGAGTCAAGTGCTATTTTTGGTTTTGAGTCCCTTTCTTTTTAAATCAACCTCTCCTGTTTTCTCCTCAGAGAAAGCCCTTGTTAATACAACAGTATTTTTTAATGGTGGAGTAAAAAAGCCTTGTGGTATTACTAAACAGCCTAGTAACAGACTAATAGCTAGAGAGTTCGTGATTTCTTTAGTTTGGTGGCAGCGAAAGTTTTACACAACGTGACATCCCCTCAAACCCTACAAAAGCCTCTTTTTGAGTTATTATAATTGGTAGTGAAGAGAGGTGGGATATTGATTTATCACCCATACCTCTAAAGATCCTTTATAATTGGTGGGGCAGAGGTGGGATTGTTTGGCCCTGCCCAGATGGCCAATTAAAGAAAGATCCTTGATAGGGTGCTCATCTCCAATTCTAATCCAAAGAGCCGATGTTATCCGTAGATGCCTCCAAGGTCAGGTGGCCAGTATGACTACATGGAGTGCTGTCACCTTCCCGCAGCTTTGGTACCTATGGATCTACTCACATTTGCATATTTTCAAACTGCCAGGTTGGCAGAAGCTGGGTCTAACAGTGGGTGCTCACTCGGCTCCCCAGATTTGAATTGCCAACCTTTTGATCAGCAAGTTCAGCAGTTCAGCGGTTTAACCCGCTGGGCCACCAGATTGTTGGAACTGGGGCTAGGATTATATCTCACCTGAAATCTCTATGCTCACATTCTTTTGCCTTCTTTTTTTCCAGAGAGAAGCTTTTGACGAAACGGGATGGATAGTTAAAAATGTCTTGTCTTTACCTATTGTCAACAAAAAAGAAGAAATTGTGGGTGTAGCTACATTTTACAACAGAAAAGATGGCCGACCCTTCGATGAATACGACGAACAGATTACTGAAGTAAGCTCAAATATTTATTGACATTATTAAGTGACATTTGCACATTGGGTAGACTTGAATTGGTTTAGTTGGTAGACTTTTTTAACCAAACACAACCAAAGTACCTAAACAATTCTATTTATTTCCATTGTTTTCAGATGCTTACGCAGTTCCTTGGGTGGTCTGTTTTAAATACTGACACCTACGACAAAATGAATAAGCTGGAAAATAGGAAAGACATTGCTCAGGAAATGCTCATGTACCAAACCAAGGCAACACCTGAGGAAATTCAGACCATATTGGTAAGTGTCAGTCCAGTTTCACTTACGACCTCATCACATTGGGGTTTTATGGTCCCCTTTCCGTCTTCTGAATGGGGCCTGCCAAGCGCCATCAAATGATACTAGCTTGACCCTGTTCCCATTCCTCCTGAAGTGGAAGAGAAGCATCACAAGGGGTTTTTTTGTGGGGGTTTTTTGCCGTGTCAGGAGCGACTTGAGAAACTGCAAGTCGCTTCTGGTATGAGAGAATTGGCCGTCTGCAAGGATGTTGCTCAAGGAACGCCCGGATGATTTGATGTTTTTATCATCCTTGTGGGAGGCTTCTCTCATGTCCCCGCAATTGGGAGCTGGAGCTGATAGAGGGAGCTCATCCGCCTCTCCCCGGATTTGAACTTGCAACCTGTCGGTCTTCAGTCCTGCCGGCACAGGGGTTTAACCCACTGTGCCACCGGGGGCTCCATCAAAAGGTGAAGTGATGATAAAATGGGCAAAGGCAATGGGTCATACAATCAGTATGGCAAAATGGGAAGAAATTTGGACAAAGAAACTCAAATACGCATACGCTGTAGAGATCAAAGAAAATTGGTTAAAGACTTTTTACATGTGGCATCTAACACCAGAGAAATTAGCTAAATATAGCAAGGAGAAAATCAGTAAGAAATGTTGGAAGTGTGAGAAAAATATGGGCACTTTCATGCATATGTAGTGGGAGTGTAAGGCCATCAAAAATTTTGGTATGAAGTATGTAAAAAGATGAAAGTAGTATTACAAATAAAATTTGACTTCAAACCAGAATATTTTCTTTTGGGAATTACAGACTTTCAACTCGATAGAAACAAAGACAATTTTTTATTTTACTTAGCTACTGTGGCAAGAATAACTATAGCCCACTTTTGGAAAGCAACAGAGACAGCAACAACGAACGGATGGATTGAAAAAGCTATAGACATTATGAATATGGATTTATTAATGCAAAATCTTGCCCAGAATAGATCAATATCAAACAAAACGAACTGGAATGACTTTATCAATTTCTTTAAAAAAAACAATAATTACAAATATTGTATATACTTGAGTGTAAGCCTAGTTTTTCAACCCCTTTTTTAGGTTGAAAAAGTCCCATTCGGCTTTTACTCGAGTCAAGATTATTTATTATTTAATTCTATTATTATTATTATTATTATTATTATTATTATCATCATTATTCCCTATTATTATTACATTTATTATTGTTATTATTATTACATTTATTATTTTACTCTATTATTACTGTTATTATTACATTTCTATTACTTTACTCTATTATTATTACATTTATTATTTTACTCTATTATTACTGAAAGGATATGCAAACATATTTACACTAAAAAGGTTGGTATCATGGTTTAATCAGAGTTGGACAGTCTTATCTTAAATTACAATTTTATGTAAATATTCAAAAACATTTAACCTACTGATGCCTCAATTAATGTCATAGTATTGGAATCTATTTTTATTTTGGAATTGACCAGTAGCTGCTGCATTTCCCACCTTCGGCTTATACTCAAGTCAATACGTTTTCCCAGGGTTTTTTTTTTTTTTTGGTAAAATTAGGTGCCTCAGCTTATATTCGGGTTGGCTTATACTCGGGTATATACGGTATTTATCAAAGTGGAATAAAGTCCTAAAGGTCTAATAAAAAATTATATGCACAGGGCATACGCAAGGGGGAAGGAATATAGTGCAAAGAAATATAAAATACCACAATAAGTGGTCTGGAAGTAACAGAAATAAGATGTTTATGTTGATACTTTATGATTGTGGAGGCTGGTTCCTTGTCTCCTTTTTTCCCCTTCTTCTTTCTTTTTTCTCCAATTATTTTATTATGATTTTTATTTTATTTTCTGTTTATCTTTACCTCTTATCACTTATATAGTCCTACATTTCTACCCAACCAGGGTTAACTTACCTTAACTGTACAAGGAATCAGCACTATTTGTCGTCTAGTATTATTTATTACTTTATTTCATTCTTAGTTTTTTTAGTTGTTGATTTTTGTTATACATGTTCAGTGTTGTTGATATTAGGGCTGGGTAACAACGGAAAAATTTGTTTCTAAACTCGTTTCATTTTTAGGGGGTCCATTGCGTTTCGTTTTTTAAAAGAATTCCAAATTTTTCTTTAAATTTTTTTCGTTATTTGCGAAATTTCGTAAATTTCGAATTGATTCGTTAATGGCGGACGCGATTGCGCAATACGCTAAAAAAACCTCCAAATGGGACAGGGGGAACTTCTGAAGCTTCCCTCTCCCTCTGTTGTTGACTGTTGGTGTGATATAAAACTTGCACCAGACATACGGAAATAATAACGAAACGATTTCGAAACAATTTCGAAATGATTTCGAAACGATTTCGAACCAATTACGAAACAATTACGAAATAAATTGAAAAATTTGTTTCAATTTTTAGTTGCTCCTGCATGGCTCAATATCGGATCGTAAGCTAATTTAAATACGAATCAATAACGAATTACGAAATTAACGAACGAAACCGCCCAGCCCTAGTTGATATGTATTGTTGTCGTTCATTAATAAAAATGAATTTTAAAAAACGGAGAGGATAGTGTTAATTTTTTACCCTTTCCTCAATCTGATGGGGAAAAGGGCAATACAGTAAGATGTGTTGCTGCCCTTTCACCCATTTGATGGGTATAGAGTGCCAACACAGCTTGTCCTGTCCCCACCATGTGATGGGAGAAAGAGGGAGGAGACGTGGGGCACCACAAGGCAGTTTGCACGCCTTCTGTTTCAACGGTGACGGATGCCAAAATGGCATGACCCCAGGGGCTGTGTGAAGAGGTCCTTAATCAAAGTTTAAATCTTTTTGCACAGTCAGTTGAATTCACTATTCATTTCATTTATATTTTGTTCTTAGAAATGGAAGGAAAAATTAAAAGCAGAAAGTATTGAAGACTGTGATGAAAAACAACTTATTAAAATTTTGGTGAGTACTAGCCACTAATATTCCTCTTGCGATAGTCTGTAAAAGATTTGCTATTTTGCAGCTGTAATCCTGAGAGTATTCCTCTTAACCTAAATGAAATGACATAACACATGAAGCAATACAGGGAATCTGTTGTTTTTTAGTACTGATATTGGCATTGACATCGCAAATTTTTTGGATCATCAGTTCTATAGTAAATTTATTTCAGAGTGCTGCATTTACATTAATTTTTTAATAGAAGTTGTTGTTGCTGCTGCTGTTGCTGTTGTTTTCAAGTTGCTTCCAATTTCTGGCAATCCTATCACAGGATGAAAATGTGTGACTCATCCGAGATCACCCAGTAGGTATCTGTTGCACTGTAACCCTTGAACACCTTTTTACCCAACACCACACAATGTTCAGGTAATCCAATAAGTGAAAGTTGGTTAACGAATAAGTATAAAAGGAAAAAGGCAAGTCCAAAAAGAAGCAGCAAAAGTACAAAAATTAATTCCCAATGAGATCAAGAGTTCACCAGCTTTTGAACCAAGGCATCAAAAGCAATTCACAGAGACCTGAGTCAACACAAAGCAAAATAATCCTTAAGCAGGTTATTGTTCAAAAGTTATATCCATAAACATGAAAATAGGAACACAAGAAAGGCAAAACCTCCAAGAATATGAAGTCATAAACTGGAATCAAACCAAGAATCTTGAAATACAGGAATTTAGGACTACAAACGGGGAGCTGTTTCCCCTTTTTACAATGTTGTTCCCACTACAGACCTGGGATTCCAGAAACCTCAATCCCTCCCATGACATCACTTCACGCACACCTGCTTTTTCTCTCCTTATCTCTAAACCTCTGAGAAAAATGAGTCTGTCTTTGTTTTACATTCTGCCTCCTAATTTCAAGGTGACTAGATCTGGAAAAACCTTATTCTCCCACATTCTCCTCTGAAGCCACTCTGGCCTATTCTCATGGAAACTGATATCACTTCCTCCCATTGCCTGGGAACAGCCTGGAGATTCCAAAACATCTCTCTCCAGGCCCTTGTATTTTCCACAAACTCTTTGGAAATTACAGGTTGCAACCCATCATCCCTTTCCTCATCCTCTGAGCACTCAGAAAGCTCATCCGATGCTTGCTAGGCTACAACAGTATCCATGGTTGAGTGGAAACTTGAACCCTTATCTCTAGAGTCTTGGACCAACACTTAAACTGCTATGTCATGCTGACTCTCAGTTTAGCACTATATAGGAACTGCCCAAGTGGTGAACATATTTTAGAATAGGCTTTAGCACCTTAAATAATTTTAGTAAGATTACGGGGATGAGAAACAGGGCATTCTCAGTGGTGGCCCCTCGGATATGGAACGCCCTTCCTACATACATTAGATCGGCCCCCTCCCTGTTAGCATTTTGGAGGAAAGTGAAGACCTTGTTGCTCGAGCAGGCATTTGAAAAGGCAGTGTAACGAACATGGAATAATTGGATGATGAATTTGGATCTTGATTTTAACTATGAGATGCTAATGAGATGTTTTATTGATTTATAATGATTATTTATTATGCTACTGTTTCCAATTGTTTTTAACTGTTTTATGATGTTTGAGCATTGAAATTTGCTATTTTTAACCGCTTTGAGAGAAAAGCGGTATATAAATATAGTAAATAAATAAATAAATGTGTCACTAAACCCCAAGTGACTTCTTAAATGTAATGTGGACTCACCAGTCACAAACTAGCAAATCCAGTGGCAACTTCTGAGATTACTTTTTGCATCACTCCTGTCATATACAACATAATTATTTCCTCAGATGCATTAAACAGAGAAGGGAGAGAAGGCAAAGCATAACAGTAGCCCCACCATCACTATGTGTCTGTCACCAATCATATCAGGTTCTCTCTTTCTCTTTTTCCTCTCCATTCTTTATTTCAAGTTAAAACTTTACAGGGTGGTTGCAGGTTTTTTGGGCTATATGGCCATGTTCTAGAAGCATTCTCTCCTGACGTTTTGCCTGCATCTATGGCAAGCAACCTCAGAGGTTGTGAGGTCTTAAAACTTTACAGTTGAATACACTGAGTTCAAACCCACTGTCTTACTTTTAGATCACTTCTTTTTTCCCAACTAAACAGTAGGATGCCTCTATTTTTCTCCAATTAGTTTTTATGTGAATGAGAAATACATGCAAACAAATCCCTTATACATGACACTACATGAATTCACAGTCTGATCTTTCATGTACTGCCTCACTCAACAAGTTTATCCTATTATAAAGCTCTGATTCCCAGCTTGCTAATGGGATAAAGCAGGTGTTGTGTTTTAAAACTGCGATTGCTTTACGAACGGATGACTTCTGCCCTTGACCCAGGACCAGAATAAATGTGAGAGGGACCATCGGTACTTGAAAGATAATATCGGTGGCAACCTATTTTCAAAATCTGCAATTGGTGTTTGTGCACGACCTAAACAAAGCCAAGCAACAGAAAGTGGTGTAGAACCTGCTGCTATAGAATGTAGGTCAATTGCAGATTTTCTTTTGGTATACCGAATACTTTGGTCACTGCTGTTGGATGACTCATGCCGCAAAAGAGTTAGAAGGAGTGGATCTCTAAGCAGCTTTTGATACTCTTGGCCACAGATGGAATCTGGACATCCAGGCTCAAATCCAAGTCCAGGAATAAATCAAAGCTGCAAACCAGTGGTTTCAGGGGGAATGTACTGCCATCCAGCACAGACTGAATCCCTATTTCCTCCTGTTCTGCCTTCTAATTAACCAGGAATATCTCTAGCTTGCCTGGATTTAGTTTTGGTTTGTTCACTCTCGTTCAGTCCATTACTGACAGGAGGCACTGGTTTTGTGCAGAAGCAACTTCCTTAGAATTGGGGTTGTTGTAGGTTTTTTCGGGCTATATGGCCATGTTCTAGAGGCATTCTCTCCTGACGTTTCACCTGCATCTATGGCAAGCATCCTCAGAGGTAGTGAGGTCTGTTGGAACTAGGGAAAGGGTTTATATATCTGTGGAAGGACCAGGGTGGGACAAAGGACTCTTGTCTGCTGGAGCTAGGGTGTGAATGTTTCAACTGACCACCTTGATTAGCATTTGATGGCTTGGAAGCCTTCGACAATACATTCCTTAGAATTGGAAGGAAGGGAGAGAGATAGTTGCACATCGTTAGCGTACTGATGACACTGATAGCATAGGAGACAGAACCTAGCCCTGAAGGACATCACATGTATTGGCTAAAGCAGGATTCCTCAAACTTTTAAACCAGAGGACTGGTTTGTGGTCCTTCAGACTGTTGGAAGGCCAGATTATAATTTGGAAAAAAAAAGAATTAATTCCTATGCACACTGCACATATTTTATTTGTAGTGTAAAAACACTTAAAAACAGTACAATAATGAATACGAAGAACAGTTTTAACAAATATAAACTTAGTATTTCAGTGGAAAGTATGGGTCTGCGTTTGGCTGATGAGATAGGATTGTTGTTGTTGTTGTTGTTGTTGTTGTTGTTGTTGTTGTTGTGTGCTTTCAAGTCATTTCAGACTTAGGTTGACCCTGAGCGCAGGCTGGGTAAATGACCTTGGAGGGCTATATCCGGCCCTCGGGCCTTAGTTTGAGAACCCCTGGGCTAAAGCATCGAACAGACAACTCAGAGCAACTCCAAGAAAGACTTCAAACTTCTGAACAATGTCCCCAAGTCCTACCTCAGAGAGTCAAAGCATTAGGATACCATGGCTGATAGTATCAAGAGCTATTGAGAAGTCCAGCAGAACCAACAGGGCCACACTTCCCCTGCCTAGTTTCCTCTGTAGGTGACCAAAGCTGTTTCTGTCCCATAGCTAGGCTTGAAGCCAGATTGAAATGGATCTAGATAATCCATTTCATCTTGGATCGCCTGAACTCTAGTACATTGCCCCCCAAAGAGATTTTGTCTACTGGTTGATAGTTTTCCAGGGATTTTTTTCTATAATGGCTCACTGCAGCCATTTTTTTAAAAAAAAAACAGCCTCTCTCTTGTGTATGGGGTGGATCAATCACCCATCCCTGCAGAAGCTTCAAATTCCAGTGACTCTAAAACCCATCAGATAGTTATTTGTCCATGACAATGCAGCTGTAGAAAGTGCCTCCATACTCAGATCATCATTAATACACCTCACACAGGAAAATAGGTCTGGAGTGTGTCCGGAATCATTGTTGGTACCAGATACTGTTCTGGACAGACCAGTGATTCCCATGGAAGGCATGAAGTTGTGAGCTGCTCCTGACAGAGAGGTCTCTGTATGGATGTTGAAGTCCTACAGAACTAGCCAAGGAGACTCCAACACAGCTATCAAGACAAACTCAGCCAGCTCAAGATGAATGCCATTGAGCAGCAGAGTGGATGATACACCAAGAGAATCCCTGTTCTGTCTGGCCAGTCACTTTAAATTTATTTATTTATTTATTTGTAGTATTTCTACCCCATCCTTCTCAACCCCGGAAGGGGGACTCAGGATGGTATTAACAGCCATATCGCCATTCCAGTCAAATTCCATTTCCAAAGTGCTATTTATGCCTGATGCCCAAAAGCCTGGTACCAGAACCACAATTTTAATTTCTTCCTAAAAGACAGGAGAGATGAAGCCGATCTTACCTCGTTGGGAAGCGAGTTCCACAGGCGGGGGACTACAGCCGAGAAGGCCCTGTCTCTCGTCCCCACCAGACATATTTGCAATGCTGGCGGGAGCGAGAGCAGGACCTCCCTGGAAGATCTTAGAGCCGCCGCAAACTAGTCTCCGCCTCTTTCTCCGCCTATTTCTCCACGGCCGCGTGGTTTTCCCTTTGCTAGGGCAGCGATGCGAGCGTACTCTCGCTGTTGAATTCTGTCAACAGCGAGAGTACGCTTGCATCGCTTGCCCTAGCAAAGGGAAAACCACATGGCCGCGGAGAAATAGGCGGAGAAAGAGGCGGAGAAAGAGGCGGAGTCTTCGACGTCATCGGTCGTGCTGGCACAGTTGGCTCTCCCAAGACGCTAGTTTGCGGCGGCACTTAAACTGCAAGGCAGAACATAGAGGGCGATGCGTTCGAACAAGTAAGCTGGGCCAGAACCATATAGGGCTTTATAGGTCAAAACCAACACTTTGAATTGAGCTCAGAAGTGGACCAGCAGCCAGTGGAGCTGACACAACAGGGGGTGGTATCTTCCCTGTATGTCACTCCACTTAGTAATCTGGCTGCAGCCCGTTGGACTAGTTTGAGTTTCCGAACCGTCTTCAAAGGCAGCTCCACGTTGAGTGCGTTGCAGTAGTCTATTTGGGATGTAACAAGAGCGTGGACCACCATAGCCAGATCAGACTTCCCAAAGTACGGGCAGAGCTGGTGCACAAGCTTTAACTGTGCAAAAGCTCCCCTGGCCACCACAGAAACCTGGGGTTCCAGGCTTAGCGATGAATCCAGGATCACTCCCAAGCTGCGAACCTGCATCTTCAGGGGGAATATAACCCCATCCAACACAGGTTGTAACCCTATGCCCTGTTCGGCCTTTTGACTGACTAGGAGGACCCTTGTCTTGTCTGGATTCAACTTCAATTTGTTAGCCCTCATCCAGTCCGACACAGCGGCCAAGCACCAGTTCAAGGTCTGAACAGCCTCCTTAGTAACAGGTGGGAAGGAGTGACAGATTTGGACGTCATCTGCGTACAGATAACATTGTACTCCGAAACTTTGGATGATCTCCCCCTGCGGCTTCATGTAGATGTTAAACAACATTGGGAACAGTACTGAACCCTGAGGGACTCTATAAGATAATGGTTGTCGATGTCACCCAATAACACCTTCTGGGACTGTCCCTCCAGGAAGGACTGGAGCCACTGCAAAGCAGTACCTCCAAGTCCCATACCTGCGAGGCATCCATACACATATTTATATTCAGCAGACTATGGGACAAGGCACCAGATGAGGGAGGTGGAATCCTGATAGACCACTGCAATTCTGTCTCCTCACCTCTCAGGCCTTGCCAGTTGCTCCACGGAAAACCTAGGTGGATAATTTCAGGAAGGGTTACCCACCCATCTCCGGCTTCATCCAGTTCAGTTCCTGGATTGGTTGGAGCTTGCTCTTGCAGGTATTTGGATGGTCTTCTCAGCAGTTCTTAGAAAAGAGAAGTTACAGCAAGTGGATTATGGTAACAGCTACTGACCTCTCATCTCTAGACTAGTGGAGGTTCTTCTTCTTGGTGCACTAAAAGTGAGAAAGGATAAACACAAGCAAAACACCTGAAAGCATAATCTCAGAGACACATACATCTATGTGATTATTTTTTTTAAAAAAATGAATTTGAATGTTCTGAGTACCTTAACATGCAATGTTCATATTTCCAAGCTGGTTGAAATGTAAGAGCCATTCAAAGTGTGACTTTAAATCTGTTGGCAAGGCAACACTTTTGTACCCAAGTCATAAGGCTGGGAAATTATGCCTGAGTAATCTCTATTCTTATATTCCCCCAGAAAGAGGAACTGCCTGAACCAAATTCTGTAGAACTATATGAGTTTCGCTTCAGTGACTTTCCCGTGACAGAGCATGAACTGATCAAATGTGGAATACGACTCTTCTTTGAGATAAATGTTGTGGAAAAGTTTAAAGTACCAGCAGAGGTCAGATCGATATTTTTTTCCCTCTGGTTTTAACAAAATATGTCGCTTGTGATGGAAATCACATATTATCACCACTCCCGTATACCAATACTTATGTCACAATAGCAATGACCAACTGGCTGTTGTTTTTTCTTGAGTATGTTACAAATGAAATTACAAAATGTGAGAAAGATCTACTGTTGTTTACTAAATGGTACACATGCCATACCTATAAATCCTTTCCTATATTAGTATTAGGGTTGGATAAGTTCCTTCGGAAGAGCCTGAAAGTTGTAACAAACTTCTGACTTTTGACTTTGGAAGCAGTTTTGAACCATGCAGGAAAGGTGGGAGGGGCAAATCTGAATGTGAACCACTAACTCCCCCCCCCCCCGGAAATATTCCATAATGTTCGGATGTCTCCTAAGGTTATTTTAATTTTCAGAACCATTAAGCAACTTTGGTAGAGCCTAAAAAGTTTTAAAATCTCATGCTTTCCCTCCCCGGGCGATGCAAGGGAGGGATGAGGTGGGCGTGGCTAAGAACAGCCGTTGTTGTAGTTTGTGAAGGCCAGGCCCCCAATGGTAGAGATTGCAAAAGGCCCTCATGATAAACTACATTTCCCACACTGTCTTGCTGCTCATTAGCTAAAATGGCTGAAGGACCCCTATAGCTGTCTGTAGCTGTCTTTGTCTAAATATAAAATAAACTGATTGCATCTACAAAGGTGTCTAAAAAAGGCAACAAAGCAATAAGCAACTTTTGCAAAGCCAAGAGAACACAAACTGCTTAAAAATAAATCATTTCACTTTGGCCTGATTGCCATGTTCAAGGCACTGGGGTAGCCAGCTACCGGCAGCCAGTCAGTAAGAAATGATAAAATAAAATGATTGATTGCATCTGCAAAAGGGAATAAATGGATGGATGAGGGTCTCTTCCAACTCAGTAGAGGAAGCAAATTGATGTCAGAAGAGTTTGGATGGTGCATTTCTGCCCAGAAAAAGGGGGTCAGTCTAGATGTCCCTTGATGGGGTCTGTACTATGATTTCTGTTCTCCACCAATTTAACACAGTTTGTGTCACACAAACAAAGTTTCTGGAGTAGAACAACTACTTTCAAAGTAAAGACCACCCAATGAAACAAGAAATAACACTTTCAAACCAGGAACAGATTTTCTTTATTATTAAAAAAATGTTTTTTTATAAAAACTTTGAAAATTAGCCAAAATTCCATGGATAAGTCAAAGGTTATGAAATTTGGTGAGCTAATAGTGGTCCATATGTTCTACCACTGTGGCAAGGTTCATCAATATTGATCTAAAAATGAGGGAGGAAGAATCTCCTGAAGTTTCCCCAGTGCCAGTGCTGTTTTTTTCCTACTGCGCATGCATGTCTGCCATTAACGAAGCGATTTAGAAGTTTTGGAAAGTTTTGAATTTTTTAAAAAAAAATCAGAAGTGGCTTCAGAATCAAACCACCAGTGCCCTTTACATCCAAAATGAGTTTTGAACTATTTTTTAAAAAACAACCAAGAAAATTAGCAGTAATAGCAGAAGGCTGCTTGTTCCTTTGAATATGTTGGCAGAGGCTGATGGGAGTTGTGGACCAAAAAAACACCCTAGGTGCCCTAGGTCACTTGTCCGGTGGTTTACCAGGGGTGGGGAGGCAACAGTGGCCCAATATTATGCCAGCAGCACCCCCTGATGTGGGAAGTGGCACCTATCAGCAGCAGGCTGCCCGATCCCTGATCCAGGACCCATGCACAACGGCCAACCTCGTTTCTCTTCTGTAATCAATAAACAAGTTGTGGCCTTTTATTATCCCAACACTGTGTGTGTGTCATCACTGGGTTTTTGTTGGCGAGAGATAGTGGTCACCCATGCCCACGCCAATCAATTTTGTTTATAATAATATAATGTAATTATTGTGGTGAAAAGGTTTGTTAAATTGCACTGCAAAGAATTAAATGTCGCTTATTTGTTGCAGGTCCTTACAAGGTGGATGTACACAGTAAGAAAAGGGTATCGCGATATCACTTACCACAACTGGCGGCATGGTTTCAACGTTGGGCAGACCATGTTTACTCTTTTGATGGTAAAGTTTGTTCCTCTGGATTTATGCCTAGATTTGCTTTTCACTGCAGTATCCTACAAAGCAGATGTAAGAGTAAAAACAAACATTTTGTTTTCACAGACAGGTAAAATAAAGAAATATTATACTGACTTAGAAGCCTTCGCTATGGTATCTGCTGCTTTCTGCCATGATATTGATCACAGGGGAACCAATAACTTGTATCAAATGAAGTAAGTGGTATCTGTGTACATGTACATTTTAAATAATGTCTGTGTTATCAAATGAATTACATTGATCAGTTCAAAGTAATTGTGCCTTGGTTTTTGAAATCTCTAGTCTCCTGTTTTGTCTCGTGGCTTGGGAAAGTACTGGTTAAGAATTCAAGTAATACCCCTATCAGAGGTTAGTTGCTTTCTCAGCCTTGTTGTTACTGTGAGGAATTTTGCCATTATGAGAGTCACCCTGTGGCACTTGTCCTCTAAAAAGATAACTAACAATCCTTTGCGGGGGGTGGTTGCCTGTCTCATGCAAGTGCTGCTGGGAAAATGAGTTTCCAGCAGGGCCCTCTCTGGAGGAGGAGCCTAGGAAACTTTCCAAAAAGAAATGGAGGACAGTAGGCTTGGGCGATCCAGTTCGTTAATTTCGTAATTCGTTATTAATTCGTATTTAAACTAGCTTACGATCCAATATCGAACCATGCAGGAATAGTGTGAGGAGTAATTAAGAATCGAAACAATTTTTCCAATTTTCGTAATTATTTCGTAATTATTTCATAATTATTTTCGTATGTCTGGTGCAAGTTTTACAATCTCGCATTTACCCCACTTCCGGTCCCTTTGCTCTGCTGCTTCCCTCCTCTTTCCTCATGCTTCTTCTTGCCTCACTCTAATATACAATACTATAATATAATATATAATATAATAATATTATATTATTATAATACTATTATATTATATATTTTATTACTATATTTTATATTAATTATAATTGTATAATATAATATAATATAATAATATAATAATATATAATGTTGTTGTTGTTCATTCGTTCAGTCGTCTCCGACTCTTCGTGACCTCATGGACCAGCCCACGCCAGAGCTCCCTGTCGGCCGTTACCACCCCCAGCTCCCTCAAGGTCCGTCCAGTCACTTCAAGGATGCCATCCATCCATCTTGCCCTTGGTCGGCCCCTCTTCCTTTTGCCTTCCACTTTCCCCAGCATAATTGTCTTCTCTAGGCTTTCCTGTCTCCTCATGATGTGGCCAAGGTACTTCAACTTTGTCTCTAGTATCTTTCCCTCCAGTGAGCAGTCGGGCTTTATTTCCTGGAGGATGGACTGGTTGGATCTTCTCGCAGTCCAAGGCACTCTCAGAACTTTCCTCCAACACCACAGCTCAAACGCATCGATCTTCCTTCGCTCAGCCTTCCCTAAGGTCCAGCTCTCACATCCGTAGGTTACTACAGGGAATACCATGGCTTTGACTAGGCGGATCTTTGTTGCCAGTCTGATGTCTCTACTCTTTACTATTTTATTGAGATTGGACATTGCTCTCCTCCCAAGAAGTAAGCGTCTTCTGATTTCCTGGCCACAGTCTGCATCTGCAGTAATCTTTGCACCTAGAAATACAAAGTCTGTCACGGCCTCCACGTTTTCTCCCTCTATTTTCCAGTTGTCAATCATTCTTGTTGCCATAATCTTGGTTTTTTTGATGTTTAGCTGCAACCCGGCTTTTGCGCTTTCTTCTTTCACCTTGAAGGCTCCTCAGCTCCTCCTCGCTTTCGGCCATCAGAGTGGTGTCATCTGCATATCTGAGGTTGTTAATGTTTCTTCCAGCAATTTTATAATATACAATAACATAATATAATAATATAATAATAATATAATATAATATATAATATAATAATATAATATAATATATATAATATAATAATATTATATAATAATATATAATATAATAATATTATAATAATATAATATAATATATAATAATATAATATAATATAGTTGTTTGTTTTATCACACCAACAGTCAACAACAGAGGGAGGGGGAAGCTTCAGAAGTTACCCCTGTCCCATTTGGAGGTTTTTTTAGCATATTGCGCAATCGCATCCACCATTAACGAATCGATTCGTAATTTACGAAATTTCGAAATTTTGAAATCTTAAATTTCCAAAGTCCTCAGAATTTAGAAACGCTAGCGCACCCTAGAAACGAAACGAGTTTAGAACCAAGTTTTTTCTTGATCGCCCAAGCCTAGAGGACAGTGCTAATGCCAGGGGAGGGAGAAAAAGACACTGCAACAATCCCATCTTCTCCAGGAGCCCTGTGGCAGACTCCTGCCTCAGGTATATTGCAGACTTAACTCTATCCTCTCTAGTATCCAATAAAATCTGACTCTCTTAATCGGTTTTGCCAGGCTTTTTGGCTCTCTCCCTCTCATTCTGTTTTCAAAGATTATATGAAATAGACCCCTGTATATTACAAATCATTTTCATTCAAACTGATTCAGGCTCAAGGCTATTCCTGACAGCCTCCCCTTGGGCATAACACCAAAACCCCTAAGAGCAATCCCTGATTTCCATGGATGCTCAAAGGCCAGTTCTTTTCTCGGAAGGCTAATCAAGGAGTGAAAGCCCCCAAAGTCTCTTTTGACTTCTAACTAGAGCTAAGACCCCCAAAGACCAGCCTCAAGAACAGGTCATTAACCCCCACCCCCAGATCGCTTGAACCACAAGGAGAAATCAATGTATTTGAGATGTGACACTGGAGAGGAGGTCTGAGGATATAAGGGACTACTAAAAAGTATGATGAAATTGGGCCTGAACAATCCCTAGAAACCAAGGTGGTTCAACCAAAGCTGTTGTACTTTGGCTATATCATGAGAAGAGATGACTCACTAGAAAAACTAGTAGTGTTTGGTAAAATTAATTGGAGATGGATAGTAGTGGGCCCGAATCAGTTTGAACAAAAATTATTTGTAGTTTTCGGGGGCTGTTTTGTATAATATCCAAAAACAGAACAGGGAGGAGGGAGACGAAAAGCCCGGCAAAATGGATTAAGAGAGCAAGATTTTATCTGTTATGGAGAGGAAGGAGTTAAGTCTAAGGCAGGGATCTGCCACATTCCCCAGCAGAAGTAGTATACTCCATTTCTTCTTGAAAAGTTTCCCCCTCCTCCAGAGAGGGCTCTGGGAACTCACTTCCCCAGCAGCACTTGCATCCAGACCTATATTTGTCATCTACTAGGCATAGAGCCTTCTCGATCGTGGCCCCTTATTTATGGAATGCCTTGTTGGTTGAAACTCGAACCATCCGAGATCTACTTGCTTTTCGGAAAGCCTGTAAAACTTTTCTTTTCCGACAAGCTTTTGATGGGTGAACAACTCGGGTTATGCCTGTTCTCGCTGCCTATTGTTATTGTTATGGTCATTTTAAAGCTAATTGTATTGTTTTAATCTGTTTCTGTAAACCGCTCCGAGCCAAAGTGGGAGTAGCGGTATACAAGTTGAATAAATAAATAAATAAATAAATAAATAGGGAAGGCATTGAATAATCTTCGAGTTCCTCTTGGAGCACGATGGGATTTGAAGTTTTTCTCTCTGTGTGTTTCACAGCCAATAAAAAGCCTAGTTGTGTCTTTGCTCTGATTGGCTGGGAATGAACACAACCAGCAACTACAGTTCCCAGAACCCTCTCTTGCGGTGGGTCTTATTTTAAAAATGTTATGGTTAAAACTTAAAATAATTCTTAAAAATTAGTAGATTGGTGAATTGTTTTGAAACTTGGCAGGCCTGCAGTTATTTATTTATCGTGTCAGGGGCAACCAGACCATTTTATTACATTTCTAACAGAACAAAACAAACAAACAGATAAAAATAAACACAAAGTTTGCAAACTTGGTAGTTGATTAAATGTCCTTTGACCAGTATCTGGCCACTTGGAGTGCCTCTGGTGTTGCCGCAAGAAGGTCCTCCATTGTGCATGTGGCAGGGCTCAGGTTGCATTGCAGCAGGTGGTCAGTGGTTTGCTCTTCTCCACACTCGCATGTCGTGGATTCAACTTTGTAGCCCCATTTCTTAAGATTGGCTCTGCATCTCGTGGTGCCAGAGCGCAGTCTGTTCAGCTCCTTCCAAGTCGCCCAGTCTTCTGTGTGCCCAGGGGGGAGTCTCTCATCTGGTATCACCCACGGATTGAGGTGCTGGGTTTGAGCCTGCCACTTTTGGACTCTCGCTTGCTGAGGTGTTCCAGCGAGTGTCTCTGTAGATCTTAGAAAACTATTTCTTGATTTAAGTCGTTGACGTGCTGTCTGATACCCAAACAAGAGATGAGCTGGAGATGTCACTGCCTTGGTCCTTTCACTATTGGCTGCTACTTCCCTGTGGTTGTAAATGGGGTATAAAAGTGAGGTTTTTTTCATGCAGATAGGCCTGTAACGGCTGAGGCTTGAGCCTTTAAAGTTTCCCATTGTAGCCAATGAAATGAAAATGGCAAAACCTTTTGAGTAACTTCCCGGTAAACAGAATTAGGGGTAAGCTGACAATGGACCCCAAAACGGCATGCCATTTGGCCGAATTGCACACCTCTAATCGATAGACTCAATTAAGGAAGTTTAGTCCCTGAGTCTATAAAACCAGTGCAGGGCTATTAAGAAGAAGATGACTTGGAAGTTTCTCATTCATGGGGTCACCATAAGTCTAAGTTGACCTGAAGGCATCTAATGACAACAAAATTGAAGTAAAATGAGGACAAAGTGGTGTGAGGGATAGAGAAACTGGAGCATTTAAAAAGTAACTGAAAAAGTGGGACAACAGGAGATTAATGAGGACTGTTCCTGCCAAATTGGAACAGTTAGGTAATTAGGTAATTAAAATAGTATTTGGCTGTCACCTATAGCCACTGTCTTATCTCCTGTTTAAAAGTCAGAAGCACACCAAAAATACTTGCTCAAGTGAGTGGCTGCTGCTTGACCACGCTGTGTCCTGATGCCAGCTCTGATGCCAGTCCGGAATGAAGTAGTAGTTGCTTAGGAAGCAATTATCACTACAAGATTAATTGAAAGGTGAAAAAAGTAAATTGATAACTGTAAACACCACAGTGAACAAGATGAAGGTTCAGAAATAAGGCAGAATAAATTATTTTCAAATATGTAATTATATCTCAACAGGTCTGCAGCTCCATTGGCAAGACTTCATGGCTCTTCTATTTTAGAAAGACACCATTTAGAGTACAGTAAAACATTGCTAGAAGATGAGGTCCGTATCTGCTTCTTTTTATTAACTTGGTTCAGATAGTGTATATATTATATTTAGAGTGTTGTGTGGTTTTCGGGCTGCATATATTATATTTTCTACAATTAAACAGCACAATAAAAGATTTAGATACCGCTTTCCCAAGCATTAGGCACTTTGACATTTGATAATTTGGAGAAATATTCGTTATGCAGGTTTTATTTTCAATTTAAGTCATTCAAGGTAGATGCTATTTTTATATTTGCAAATGAAAAAAAATCTAAGCAGTGTTGATTTACAAAACTCTTTATCTTTCAGAGTTTAAACATCTTCCAGAACCTAAATAAGCGACAGTTTGAAACGGTTTTACATTTATTTGAAGTTGCAATCATAGCTACTGATTTGGCTTTGTACTTCAAGTAAGTTCTAGCTTCCTTTCTACTAAACTATTACCATTTTAAATGGTTTTAATATGCAGCTATCACCATTTGCAGATCTGATTTTTTTAGTTTCCTGTACTCAAATTCTCATTCTTTGAGCCTCTTAAATTAAGTATTGTTTACATTTTAACAAAAATTAAAGCAGAAACTTGAAGACAATGCCTTGAATTCTACATAAATTAAACTTATAAAATCATATGTTGACTTACCTTTCAACAATTCCTTGAATGGGTCTTGATTAGTTGAGACTAATCAACAAGGTTCCGGACTTGGTTTGTTTTTATGTTTTACTTAATTTTTAAAATTACAGTTATCCCTCCACTTTTGCTGGGGTTAAGTGTGCAGGATCCCACAAAAAGTGATAAAACTGAATCAAAAACCCACTATTTTCCTAGATCTTCCCACCAGAAGTTGCTATGGAGGCTTTCTCAGCCATCTGGAGCTGTTGTTAAGCATGGAGACCTGCTGGTTGACCAACCCTGTTGGATCCTAGCTTGTGTATTTGCTGCTGTACATTTCAAATGCTGATAATAATGTAATTCACTTGGATTTCCTAGCAAGATTTCCTAGGAGAATTAGGCCATCAGGCCATTATTAGAATATCAGTTAGAACCACAGTATGATCAGATATGGGCCCTTCCACACAGCCCTATATCCCAGAAAATCAAGGCAGAAAATCCCACATTATCTGAGTGTGGACTCAGATAACCCATTCAAACCAGATATTGTGGGACTTTCTGCCTTGATATTCTGGGATATAGGGCTGTGTGGAAGGGCCCTATATCACCCAGTTCCCATAAGGTTGTTCATCTTGCTGGGGCTCAGAATCTACTCTGAGGATGCATCTCCAGTGTAGAAATAATACTGTTTGATACCACTTTAACTGCCATGGCTCAATGCTATGGAATCCTGGGATTTGTAGTTGTACATGGTCTTTAGTTGTCTCTGCCAAAGAGTGCTGGTTCCTCACCAAAAGACAAATCTCATGATTCCGTAGCACTGAGCCGTGGCAGTTAAAGTGGTGTCAAGCTACATTAATTCTGCACTGGAGATGCACCATGAAAGGCCTTATGGTGGGTTCCCGGAAAATCAAATGACAAGATAGGCCATGCTAGGTATTGTAACAGTTATCATATGTTCACAGGAAAAGGACCATGTTCCAGAAAATTGTGGATGCAATTGAAAAAATGGAAAAAGAAGAGGAAGCAATTAGATATATATCTACAGACCCAACCAAAAAAGAAGTAATCATGTAGGTCAAACTTATTTTATGTTACTATATATTATTTTTCAATACTACGCTCATATATATGTACTATTTTCTCCTTTCTAAAAGGTGTTTTTTTATTTGTAGGGCTATGATGATGACTGGCTGTGACTTGTCTGCAATCACTAAACCTTGGGAGGTACAAAGTAAGGTGGGTCTCTTTCAGAGAGAAGTGTGACTTCGAACATAATTCATTCAAAATATTGGATGTATATTTGAAGATGTTTCAAAATTTATTTCCCCCTCCTCCTTGATATCACGTCTTCGGAGTATGCTACTACAGACTAAATCCAATGATCTACTGGTGCAGAGAAGACTGACAGCTTAAGTCTTAAGAGCACAGGAGCAATTATATTGGATTAATTGTTGCTGCTCCTGTTATGTGCCTTCAAGTTATTTTCCACTTATGGCAGCCCCATGCTGAATTTATCACAGGGAGTTCTTGATAAGATTTTTTCAGAGGCGTTTTGCCTTTGCCCCCCTCTGAGACTGGGACAATATGACTTTTCTAAGGTCACCCAGTGGGTTTCTATAACCAGGTGCGGATTGAAACCCTGAGCTCCAAAGTAATAGTTGAACACACAAACTATGACTACAGTCTCCCTTGGATTAGACCAAGAGTTCATCTAGTCCAGTAGTCGGGAAAGTTCTGGACCTTTTGACATTTAGGTGTACAGCTACCATGGTCCCCAGATTGGTAGGTTGTCATCTAGGTCACTTGATTGTTCCTCCCATAGAAAGTCCTTTGTTTACATCAGCATCTAGAGAAGGTGTTGTATTTTTTTAGATTTGGTGTTTGGTACACATTCGCAGGCTGGTATTTGCCCCCCCCCCTTTCTCTACCAGCTTCACTTTATAGATGCACAGGTGAAGAGAAAACAAACATATTTGGTTAGGATAATATTATTTGGTTAGGCTAATATGTGTATGTGTTGCATATATGAAAATAATAATAACCGAATTGCTGCTGTAGTTGTGTGACCAAACATAAGCCAATACACAGAACATATGTACACAGTAGAAACACCTGACTTGTACCAATGTGGCTACATAATGAGGGTCCTGTATGGCTTTACCAACTGATTTCAGTTGGATTAAAAGAGATCTGTGTGATTGTAAAGGGATCAAACCAGGATATGGATATTATGTAGTAGACTGGGATGCATCCCTTATGTAGATTCAACTCTGGTTGGAAAAGGCCACTTCATAGTCTTTCAATATACAATGTGAGCGGGTTTGACTCCAATATCTATTCTACTAAAATCAAGAAATTACTATATAAGCCAAATAAATGTGGAAAACCAAACTCAACCCCCATAGTAACATTTCTGCTTGCAAATTGCTCTCCCCTTGATAACACTATGTAACACAATTTTTATTCCTGAGCTATACATGAAATTGCCTAAGTGGTTCTATAAGAAAAGCATGTAAAAGTTTATTAAACTGCAAAAACTTGTTTTTGCGAGACATCCTGCAGCACTTTTTGCTCTAGTTTGTCAATAACCAATTCAACCTAGTTTGTGGTAGCCACAAAAACAAAGTTTCTGGAATAGAACAACTACTTTCAAAGTAAGTACTGCACAATTAAACAGGAAATAACACTTTCAAACTGGGAACAGATTTTTTTTCAAATTTATATAGTGTAACTGACAGCTTTAAAAGTATTTTATAGGACATATTTTAAATATTGGTTACTCTTAATTGTATAATTTTTATAGTTCTGTAAAGTTTAGGTTTTTAGTTTTATCATTTTCAGAATCAGAGGATGAAATTTAGGATTACAAATGGCTGGGTTCGTGTCCATTCTAATTGGTGAAAGTCAGCTGGAAAAAGCTGGTTGGTCTACTGGGAATATGCATACATTGCACACAAGGATGAATATTGTTCTAGTTAACAGCTCCAGCACAATCCTGAATCTTCCAATAATACTTATTGATCATTCCCAGGTTGCCATAATGGTAGCAAATGAATTCTGGGAGCAAGGTGACCTTGAACGAAATGTCCTACAGCAGCAACCAATTGTAAGCATTTTATTTTGGCGTACATTTTTCCAGTTCTTTTTTAAAAAATGAAGATTAATATTTCTAGTATTTCCACCAAATGTTCTTTTGATTTCTTTGTAGCCTATGATGGACAGGAACAAAAGTGAGGAATTGCCCAAGCTTCAAGTTGGTTTCATTGATTTTGTGTGTACTTTTGTGTACAAGGTAAGATGCTATGTCTCACTTAATAAATATTCATTTTCCCTTCTCCCCGCCTTTTTATGTTAAGAGACATCGAAGCTTAGAAACATGACTGCAATTGATCTTCATATTTATATGAATGTCCTAAAATTTTGAGTCTACTAAAATGTATGCTTCTAATATTACTCTGTGCTTTTCATGTCAAGCTGTTTGACACACGTTTCTCTAACAAAAAAGCACACTAATAACAATTGTTGTTGTTGTTGTTGTTGTTGTTGTTGTTGTTATGATTATGATTATTTCTTAACCATCTCTCCCCATGGATCAAGGCAGGGAATTAAAATATTGTGTACTAATTCTAAGAAAATAACAAAATATTCATCAACAAATGTATGGCTCTTTTGGGAAGATAAAGCGGGTATAAATATAACAACAACAACAACAACAACAACCTGAACAATACAGAGTGGATGAAGTAACAGGGGAAATGCAACCCAAAATAAGTAAAGAAGTAGTTCAGAAATACCTGGTAACTCTAATTGAATTCAAGTATCTAGGGCCAGATGAACAACATCCGAGAGTATTGAAGTAACTAGTAGAAGTAATTTCAGAACCACTGGCAATAATCTTTGAGAATTCTTAAAGAACAGGAGAAGTCCCAACCGACTGAAGGAGGGCAAATGTTGTCCCGATCTTCAAAAAGGGAAAAAAGGAGGACTCAAACAATTACCGTCCAGCTAGTGTGACATCAATACCAGAAAAGATTCTGGAGCAGATCATTAAGGAGGCAGTCTGCGATCACTTAGAAAGGAATGCTGTGATTACTAAAAGTCAACATGGATTCCTCAAAAACAAGTCATGCCAGACTTATCTCTTTTTTTGATAGAGTTACAAGCTTGGTAGATGCAGGGAATGCTGTGGATGTAGCATATCTTGATTTCAGTAAGGTCTTCAATGAAATCCCTTATGTCCTTCTTGCAAGAAAACTAGTCAAATGTGGGCTAGGCATTACTACTATTAGGTGGATTTGTAATTGGTTAAGCGACCGAACCCAAGGGGTACCCACTAATGGTTCCTCTACATTCTTGAAAGAAGTGACTAGTGAAGTGCCTCAGGGTTTGGTCCTGGACCCAGTACTGTTCAACATCTTTATTAATGACTTGGATGAAAGTTTAGAGGGCATGTTTATCAAGTTTTCAGAAGACACTAAATTAGAAGGGATAGTTAATACTCCAGAAGACAGGATCAGAATTCAAACTATTTTGACAGATTAGAGAGCTGGGCCAAAACTAACAATATGAATTTCATCAAGGACAAATGTAAGATACTCCACAGGTAGAAAAAATGAAATGCGAAGATACAGGATGGGTGATGCCTGGGTTGACAACAGTCCATGTGAGAAAGATCTTGGAGTTTTTGTGGATAGCAAGTTGAACTTGAGCCAAAAGTGTGGTGCAATACCTTTAAAAGCCAATGGGATTTTGGACTGTATCAAAAGAAGTATAGTGTATAGATCGAGGGAAGTCTTTGTATTCTTTGTATTCTGCTTTGGTTAGACCTCACCTGGAATACTGTGTCCAATTCTGGGCACCACCATTCTAAAGAGATATTGACAACCTGGAAGGTGTCCAGAGGAGGGCAACTAAAATTATCAAAGGCCTGGAGACCCGGCCCTATGAGGAGCTTCTTGAGTATGTTTAGCCTGCAGAAGAGAAGGTTGACAAGAGACATGAGAACCGTGTATAAATTTGTGGAAAAGTGTCATAAAGAAGAGGGTGCAGACTTGTTTTCTGCTGCCCTTGAAACTGGACTAGGCGCAATGGTTTCAAATTACAGGAAGGGATATTCCACCTGAACATTAGTAAGAACTTCCTGGCTGTAGGAGCCATTCAACAGCGGAACACTCTGCCTCAGAGTGTAGTTGGAGCTCCTTCCTTGGAAACTTTTAAACAGAGGCTGGATGGCCATCTGTCAGGGGTACTTTGTGCTTTTCCTGCATGGCAGGCAGTTGGACTAGATGGCCATATGGTCTCTTCCAACTCTAATAGTCTATGATTCTATTATTCTAATACATCAAAAGAGCAAGTGAGAGAAGGACCAAGCACCCTACTTCCCTGTTCTTTTCTATGTAAGCGGCTCTACCTTGGTTTAGCATGTCAGAAGCTGACACAGGGCCTAACTGAATGTTATGCAGCAATTTTGCCAACATGTTTCAAATTTTAAAACAAAATGAATCTCATTTTGTTATTGTCCTTGAAAAGTAAACAGAATCACAGTTATCATTGTGCATGCCATATTCTTTTTTTTTTAAGCCATGAATGTCCAATGTATGGATCTGTCCTGTTTACTTAGGAATTCTCAAGATTCCACAAAGAAATCACGCCGATGTTTGATGGTCTTCAAAACAATCGAGTGGAATGGAAGTCCCGAGCTGAGATCTATGATGAAAAGATGAAAGCCATTGAAGAAGAGAAGAAAAAGCAGGAGGAAGCTGAGGCTAAAAAAGGTTAAGGTTCATTTTCAAAATGTCAATGAGTCAATCTCCAATGCTTATGAAAGTGTCTTGCTAAATGTGATATCTAAAAAATTAAATTAATTAACCACTAAACCATACTTTGTGGTTCGTGAAGATGGAATATTATAGGTTTGATCCAGACAGCAAGGGAGTCTGGTTCTGCTCATGAAGCCTCATGTTAATGGATGGAGTGACAGTCAAATTCTCCATCTAAATCAATGGTTCCCAACCTTTTTTTGACCAGGGACCACTTTGACCAGGGACCATTCTACAACATTAGTATCAAAGGGGTTACAAATCAATTTTTGGTCAACTTTAGATTTGGTTTGGTTATTTCGGGTGCTGATTAAGAAAATTGCATTAGATAGACCACATCAGCTCTAGTTTGATACAGAATATATGCCATCCAGTAGTCGCCATCTGCTTGCCCACAGAAAACCATATTTAGTCATCTAGAGCTGATGTGTAGTAGTAATCTTTCATGGGTAGTCATCCATTCCCTTCATGAAATCCTCATTCCCTTAACACTACAAGATGGTTTCATGAGACGAGTCTCTCTCGTTGCCACATGGTTTCGAGGCAGCAGTGTAGTAATGGACCATATTTTCGGTCTTGCTGACCACTGATGGTCCACGGACAACAGGCTGGGAACCACTGATCTAAATGGTTTGATGAACTGATAAAAAACTGGAAAAATACTGTCGCCTTGCGCCTGAATGACTAGATGTTTTCTGACTTCAAAGGAAAGTCTTTGTTTTCACAAAATATCTGCTCTGGATCTAAGTGAATATAGAAAAAACTTTTTAAAAGTTGACAATGTAATGCTAACCTTGTCTATTCGCAAGTAACTCCCATTGAATTCCCAGGTAAATTGATATAAGACTAAAAAAGGTAAAGGTTGTCCCCTGACATTAAGTCCAGTCATGTCTGACTCTGAGGTGTGGTGCTCATTTCCAATTCTAAGCTGAAGAGCCGGCTGGAATGACTGCATGGAGCGCCGTTACCTTCCTGTCGGAGCAGTACCTATTGATCTACTCACATTTGCATGCTTTCGAACTGCTATGTTGGCAGAAGCTAGGGCTGACAGTGGAGGCTCACGCTGCTCCCCGGAATCAAACCAGTGACCTTTCGGTCAACAAGCTCAGCAGCTCAGCGCTTTAACCCACTGTGCCACCGCACTGCCTAACAATAACATACTTAGTGACAAAGTTGAAGTTTCATATAAAATGGGTAGAAATGATGCTACTTTTGGAAAGACTATACCAAAGTTTTTATTTGCACAGTACAGAAAAGAAATATTGTCAGAAAACTGAAAAAATAATTTGCCATTTGCTACAGCATTAACTAGTCATCTCTTTCTAGCCTACTCTTTATGAGACAAGATAATAATAATAATAATAATAATAATAATAATAATAATAATAAGCCATTCGAACCAATGCCATCAAAGCCAGAATTGAAAAGTCGATGACAGATCCCAAATGTAGACTCTGCAAGGAAGCAGATGAAACAATAGACCACGTCCTCAGCTGCTGCAAGAAGATCACGCAGACAGACTACAAGCAGAGGCATAACACTGTTGCTCAGATGATTCATTGCAACCTGTGCCACAAATACCATCTGCCTGCAACAAAGAACTGTTGGGATCACAAGCTGGAAAAAGTTACAGAGAAGGAACACGCCAAACTCCTCTGGGACTTCTGGATTCAGACAGACAGAGTTTTGGAGCATAATACTCCTGACCTCACAATCGTGTTAAAAACAAAGTATGGATTATCGATGTTGCAATCCCAGGTGACAGCAGAATTGCAGAAAAACAACTGGAAAAGCTGACACGATATGAGGATTTAAAAATCGAACTGCAAAGACTCTGGCATAAGCCAGTCAAGGTGGTCCCAGTGGTGATCGGCACACTGTGCAGTGCCTAAAGACCTTGGCCTGCACTTAAAAACAATCTGCACTGACAAAATTACCATCTGTCAGTTGCAGAAGGCCACCTTACTGGGATCTGCATGCATTATTCGCTGATACATCACACAGTCCTAGACACTTGGGAAGTCTCCGATATGTGATCCAATTCAACAGTCAGCAGAGTGTCTGCTGTGGACTCATCTTGTGGTGTTTCAAATAATAATAATAATCATCATCATCATCATCTTTATTTTTGCACCTCACCTCCATCTTGGGACTCGGGACAGCTTACATGGGGATGAACCTGATCAAATATAGTTAAAAATAACACATTAAAATACATAGACAACAGAATAAAACAACAACATATAAGAACAACCATCTAACCAACAACCAATGGACCTGCAATGATCATCAATTTTGAGTTAAAACAGCAAGCACTTGGATTTAGATACTTTACAGCATTTATTCTTCTGGCAAAGAATAGGAAAATGACTTCAGCAATATAATCAACACTATTTTGAATTATTTTCAATGTTACAGAGGCCTAGGGAATTTTTAGAAAGGTACATTTTGTTTTCTTGTTATTCATTTTACAAATCTGAGGCCAAGACCAAGTACAGCCTTTCCAAAAATAACAGAAAAGGCTGCTGGAGCTCTCACATTAGCAGAGACTGCACATTCTGGACTTGATTACTTTCCAGACTCTTAATGACTCATAAAAAGACAATTGGCTCAATCCAGGCAAGAAGGTCCGCATGTCCTACCAGATTTGCAAATAAAAGCAAAAAGTGGATACAAGCGGAAGAGCATTCGGCACTTCCATTCCTTTGCTTTGTATGATATATACGTTCTTAAGTGTAGTCTGAGGCTTACATTTTCATGCAACTAGTTATATTTCATGAGTTAGATCAGGGCCAATACTTTGGTGCATCAGAATGGTTTCCTAATAGGCAGCAATATATAGAGTATGTTACAGGAGTCTAACCAGGATGTAATCGAGGCAAGTGTCACCATAGCCAGATCCAACTACTTGAGGAATGGGTACAGCTGACCAACTAGTTTTTTTAAATTTAAGTAGACATACATTTACAAGTTTTGTTGCATACAGTGCAATACTTATCTGATAATATATTTCCTTTAAGGGGTCACAGTCTACTATCTAAATAATACCTATAGTTTTAACTGTGCAAATGCATCTTGGCCATAGCCGAAACCTAAGCATCTAGGACCAGATCCAAGTTCATCTAAGCTGTAAACCAGAACGTTCATGAGGAGTATAACTCTATCCAGCACAGATTAAATCCCTATTTCCTGATCTGCCTTTTGACTGATCAGGAGTACTTCTGTCTTGCTTGGAATCCAATACAATTTGCTCACCCTCATCCAGTCCATTACTGACCTCAAGTATTGCCTTTCCTCCAGCTTTGAAGGATGCCTGTGCTTCACTGTCTAGAGGAAGAAATGATTTCCTGTCTTATCTGAGTCACGTGAATTTAACTAATAAAATAATCTGCTGTTTCCAGCTTTTGGGAAAGGTGACATCTTTGCCCATTTTTATTAGAAATATTAAAAATTAACTAGGTATTTTTAATTACAAAAATGTGTCAAACACTGAAAGTGTTAAATGGATGCAATAACTCAGCAAAAGCTGAGTCATTGCATATAAGCAGGTGTGCCTGTAGCTTAGTAGCAGTCTGAGGTAAACCTCAGTGGGAGAAAGGTCTCAGTCTGTGAGAAGGCTTCACTATGTAAGTCTTTGAGAGAAGGCCTCACATTGTGAGGTAGGTCTCAGTCTATGAGAAGACTGAGTATGAGGAAGCCTGGTGTGAGAAGCTTTGGTGAAATAAGCCCCAGGTTGAAGGCCTTGTGTGTGAAGCTCCAGTGTGATGGTTGAACTTTATTTGTGTTCTGGAAATCTTGTTTTTGTAAATAGTTAAACTACATTATGTTACTACAAAGAAAGACCTCCTATGGAAAAGATAACATTGGTCTGTGTTTTTTGTTCTTTATATCACTTTTGGCTACTGGTGATGGCTCACATGGTTGCTATACATTTATGGGGAGGGTCTTTTGTTAATAAGCCCACTCCCCCAACAATTTTCTCTCAAAAATAAAAAAGTTCACTGAGATTCCATATGGACATCACACTTAATAACTGTTTACAGACTTATCTTCTGTATTCCCCTTTTAAGCTATAGAGGCAAGTGGCTGTGTTACTACATCTTGCAACACTGGAATTCCATAAACAAATGATGCATTTTGTGCAACAAATGCTTTCCTTTGTCTGAGATAAATGTATTGCCAACCTCTATTTCTTTTTGGATGACTCGAATTTGGAATATTTTGCAAGAAGAGGAGGAAAAGGAGGGATGGAGAAAAGGAGGATGAAGAAATCTGTGTTGAATTTCTTCAAAGCGTTATGAAAATCAGTTTTCTGGCAGTTTCCAGTTGTTTCCCAATAGCATGGAATGTGTATTTTCCATTGACTTAGAACAACAGTGGACACAGCATATATGACTGGATGGCCCCCTTGCATTTCCACCTTTATTTCCTCTATTGAGCATAGCTACTTGCAGAAAACCGGATCCAGTTTACATTTCTACTGGCAGCGCCCTGATGCATTCCTAAAACTTGTTCTGGATGGCTAGAGAACCATCTAGAGATGATTGTAGCTTTGCAGAGATAGGAGAGAGATAAAAAGCTTTGTTATTTCGACAGCACCAACATGTTGAATCTAAGCGTACATTATTAAGAAACTTTGGAAGTTTATAATTTCCCATCTTAATATTAACTTGGAGAAAAAAATTTGCTTGTAATAAAACATCTTGCATAAGTCATTGTGAAGTATATGGACAGATGCTTGTTTATAAAACTATTGTCCTTCCAACTCTGCTGTATGCCTACAAAACATGGACTGTCTACAAATATCACTCTCAACTTCAGCAACAATTCCATCACTGTTGCCTCTGAAAAGTCCTGCAAATCCTTTGGGAAGACAGGCTGACCAATGTCAGCGTTTCGGAAGAATCAAAGACCACCAGCATTGAAACAATCATCCTCCACCATCAACTTTGCTGGGCTGGCCACGTTGTCCAAGTATCCAATCATTTTGGCTGCACAGTTACAATGCCAGATTGGGCTCACTACGCACTACATCGAGGACACAGCCCACTTCATAAAAAATCAGCAACCTCAAGCTCAATACCAACAACAAACTGGTCAGTTTTGATGTGGTGTGTCTATTTACCAAGGTCCTGATAGCAGACACCATCGCACTAATTAACCAGAAGTTCCCAGAAGACATCACAGCTCTGTTTCACCATTGCCTCACCACAAGCTACTTCCAGTAGGACAATGAATTCTATGAACAGAAAGATGGAGTAGCCATGGGGAGCCCTCTCAGCCAAGTCATTGCAAATTTCTACATGGATCACTTTGAAAAAGAAGCCCTGGAAACATCAACAAAAAATCCCACTATATGGTTCAGATATGTGGATGACCACCATTTGGAGCCATATAGGAGGAGAACTAAACAGGTTCATGGACCACCTAAAAAGCATCCACCCAAACATCCAATTCACCACAGAAAAAGAAAATGAAGGAAAACTGTCTTTTCTAGATGTCCTAGTCATCCACAAACCAGATCAACAATTGGGTCACAGTTTACAGAAAACCTATACACATGGATAGATACCTACATAAAAACTTCATCACCCAAGTAAAAAAAAAAAGGACCATTAAAGCCCTCGCAGACTATGCAAAAAGAATCTGCGAACCCCACCTTCTCCAAGATGAACCAAATCACTTAAATGGGCTTTCCAGGCCAATGGACACTCCACCTCAGACACCAGAAGAGCTGCAAGATCAAAAACAAAGCCATGAGGGTAAAGGCAAAGATCTACCCAGAGGAAAAGTGTTCTTGCCATAGATCAAGGGAACCACTGACCTCATTGGGAAGCTGATGAAGAAATACAACATACAAACTATCACATACCCAAAATCCAACAAATGCTACATTCAGCAAAAGACAAGGGGGATTATTTCACCTTTGCAGGAGTCTACTGTATCCCATGCAGCTGTGGACAAGTCTACACAGGGACCACCAAACACAGCACTCAAACACGAATCAAGGAACATGAAAGGCACTGCAGACTACTTCAACCAGAGAAGTCAGCCATAGCAGAGCACCTGATAAACCAACCTGGACACAGCATATTATTTGAGAACACAGAAATGCTGGACCACTCTGCCATGTCAGGCTACACAGAGAAGCCATCGAAATCCACAAGCATGTGGACAATTTCAACAGAAAGGAAGAGACCATGAAAATGAACACAATCTGGCTACCAGTATTTAAAAAAACTCTAAAATTATAACAGTAAATAAAGAACAACACTCAAACACAGGGGAAATCCAGACAAGAAACAATCAGGGACAGCTAATCACCTCTCAGCAAAGGATTCCCCCAGGCAGTAACAAGCCACACCAAAAAAACTGTCAGGCCATCAAATGCTAATCAAGGTGGCCAATTAAAACATTCACACCTAGCTCTGACAGACAAGAGTTCTTTCTCCCACCTTGGACATTCCAAAGATATAAAAACCCAATTTTCCTAGTTTCCAACAGACTTCACAACCTCTAAGAATGCCTGCTATAGTTGTGGGCGAAACGTCAGGAGAGAATGCTTCTAGAACATGGCCATTTAGCCCGAAAAACCTACAACAACCCAGTGATTCCATCCATGAAAGCCTTCGACAGTACATTATTATTGTATTCTCAATTCACTTCTGACACAATAAATCATACCATATGGCAAGTAAATAGTATTGGCTGCTCAAAGAATGCAAGATTGCAGATAACGTGTTGTATTTCCAAATGACCAAATGGTCAAACACATATGCATTTAGTATAATGCTGTTATTATTCCATAGTATGTTTATTGCTGTTAATGTTTTCGTATATGTTGGGCAATAAATATTTGCCTTTGTGTAAACCGCCCTCATCATCATTATTTTTAGGGCAGTGTAAAAATAATGATGGTGACGATGATGATTATTTCATGCCATGCACTAAAATAATGTTAGTGGCGGTGTGTGCCATCATTTCTGACCCTATCAGATTTTACCTGACTAACTCTTATTTTCTGCTTCTCCTCAACAGAAGGAGGCGGTGGAGGTGGAGGTGGCGAAGATGGCAAATCAAAAACATGTACAATTTTATAATTAACTTCAGTGGCACTAAAACAACACCAAGGACTACACATCTGCTACATTTGAAGAAATGTAAGATCTTCAGTGAGCCCAAGGATTTGTACACAGCATAAAGTAGCATAGACACTTCAGTCCTTGGGCACCTGCCCTTACTAACGGCATTAAATGTGGTAGCATCCACTGAAAATTCAGAAACTATGAAGAATGGATGGAATAGATTCCTTGACGAAGAGGATTATGGATTCATTTGGGTATTGGTTGATGTCATTTTCAATGTATACAGCTTAAAAAATAATATTAATACAGTAATGTATTTTATTTAAAGCTGAAGCCTATCAGGAAAATATGGTTTTTACTCTACTTCCAGTTCATTTCATACCGTAAAATCTGTGTTGCACAGTTTGTAACCCCTGCAATTCATCATGCATAGGAACAGGTTTTATATTATATTTAAATCTTCCATTTGGAACAATTTATATTCTTCCCCTGTATTATCACTAATAAATTGTAGTGTATGTCCTTTTAGAAATTATTATAGTATCAGATTTGTGCCTAAAAACAGGCCTGTGGAGCACGCACATGAGACCCTGTAGCATTGTTTTAAAAAAGAAATGAGAAATATTTGGAAAATGTAGAATAATATCCAATTTTAAGGTGAAGTTTATGGAGCCCCTGGTAGTGCAGTGGGTTAAGTTGCCAAGCTGCTGAATTTGCTGACCAAAAGGTCAGCGATCGAATCCAGAGAGTGGGGTGAGCTTTTGTTAGTCCCAGCTTCTGCCAACCTAGCAGTTCGAAAACATGCAAATGTGAGTAGATCAATAAGTACCACTTTGGTGGGAAGGTAACAGCATTCTATGCAGTCATGCTGACCACATGATGTTGGAGGAGTCTATGGATAATGCCAGCTCTTCAGCTTAGAAATGGAGATGAGCACCACCACCCCAGAGCCGGACACGACTGGACTTAATGTCAGGGGAGACCTTTACCTTTACCTTACCACAATGCAAAGATTAGTCATTTTCAGGCCAGACAGAGTTGATAACTCTAGGCTTCATGTGGAGTCTTCCAAAGCCATAGGATTGCTAGAGGCTCATTCTATGATCTGAAGAAAGAATAGTACAGACTCCAAATAATACAAAGTGACCCATTGATTGTGTGAGACATACTGAAGCATGATACTTCAGGCCATTGACACTCAGTGTGCACAAAAATGAAGGTACCCATCAAGACACCCCAAATCATGTAACTCTACAATGACTTGCTTGAGATGGCAAAGAAGACCCCACTGGGTATCCTGCACCCATACAAATAACAACTTGGGCTTCTATAAATGTATAAGGAATTAAAAGCATATATTACAAGATGAGCTTTGCACCATCGTATGCCTCCAAGGGAATGAGAAATGAATGGGGCAGGGGGCTGTGTATCCTGCAATACTCTATAGGCCACCCCCAAACCAAATATTCATTATTCTAGAAAAGTGCTTAGAAGGTGGTGTAAAACTGTGTCCAGTTCCGTGCTTTGACAAGGCAGTGTCAAGTATAACATCACCATGCCAATAATAATGCAGAGCTTTTCAAATCCTGTGTCGTGACACATTAGCATGTAGGTGTGTCATGCGAACCTAATGAGTAACCTCTGAGTCTGTGAAACAAGCAATAAATCATATATTTTTAAAAATACATAGATGAAAGGTTTTCATATGTTGTGTCCCCATACATCGCATTTTTACAATATTCGTATGTGTTGGTATCGCTTATAAGAGGTTTGTTTAACCCCTGGTTTACTTGTAAAACTGAATTACTATGCCACAAAATGATGTGTGTCTAAATAGTGTGTCACCAACATGAAATATTTGGAAAGCTCTGAATTAATGGATATAGTAGATAGAATTTAAAACATACACCCTCAGATCAAACACCCACTCCTTTCTGATGGCAGAATAACACAATCATTGTGTTGAGCATAAGACACCATGGGCAATTTGTTAGTCTGAACAATACTATGGGATTCTTTATTTCTTTCTATCAAAGCTGGCTATCACTGATATGAGGGAATCATATTCAATTGGGTTCAATTGGCCCAAAAGTATTCACCAACACGCCATATTAGTAGCACTAAAATACCAATATTGCAGCAACTTCATATGGCATAGATGCAACAGAAGCAAGGCTGGGTTTTGCTGTGAGTTTTCCAGGCTGTATGTTCCAGAAGCATTCTCTCCTGACATTTCACCCACACCTATGGCAGGCATCCTCAGAGGTTGTGAGGTCTGTCGGAAACTAGGCAAGTGGGGTTTATGTATCTGTGGAATGTCCAGGGTGAGAGAAAGAACTCTCTTGAAGTTGCAAGGCTATTAAATGCTAATCAAGGTGTCCAATTGTAACATTCACACTTGCCTCAAGCAGACATGAGTTCTTTCTCCCACCCTGAACGTTCCACAAATTTATTTATTATTTATTTACTGTATTTGTATACCGCCTTTCTCAGCCTTTCGGCGAATCAAGGCGGTTTACAGATGACAAGTAATATACATAATATCAAAATGCACATAAAAACATAAAATACAATATAAAACCACAATAGAAATAATAAGCAACAGCCAGGAGACAGGTGTTTTTAAAGTCTCTTCCTCAGTCCCCTTTCTCCTCTTAGCTGGCTTGGGAGGGGGAGAGTAGCAGCAGGATTTCCTCCTTCTCCTCTTGAGGTGGCAGGCAGAGGAAGTAAGCAACAGCTAGGAGACAGGCGTTTTTAAAGTCTCTTCCTCAGTCCCCTTCCTCCTCTTAGCTGGCTTGGGAGAGAGGGAGTAGCAGCAGGATTGCCTCCTCCTCCTCCTGAGATGTAGGCAGATGTAGTAAGCAACAGCTGGGAGACAGGTGTCTTTAAAGTCTCTTCCTCAGTCCCCTTCCTCCTCTTAGCTGGCTTGGGAGGGGGAGAGTAGCAGCAGGATTTCCTCCTCCTCCTCCTGAGGTGGCAGGTAGATGTAGTAAGCAACAGCTAGGAGACAGGTGTCTTTAAAGTCTCTTCCTCAGCCCCCTTCCTCATCTTAGGTGGCTTGGGAGGGGGAGAGTAGCAGCAGGATTTCCTCCTTCTCCTCCTGAGGTGGCAGGTAGATGTATATAAGCCCCACATGCCTAGTTTCCAACAGACTTCACAATGTATTGTCGAAGGCTTTCATGGCCGGAATCACTGGGTTGTTGTAGGTTTTTTCGGGCTATATGGCCATGGTCTAGAGGCATTCTCTCTTGACATTTCGCCTGCATCTATGGCAAGTATCCTCAGAGGTAGTGAGGAGACTTCACAACCTCTGAGGATGCCTGCCATAGATGTGGGTGAAACTTCTGGAGAGAAATCTTCTGGAACATGGCCTTACAGCTTAAAAAATTCACTGCAACCCAGTGATTCCAGCCATGAAAGCTTTTGACAACACAGAGAAGCAAGGCTGTTGGTGTCACAGCACAAAGATCTTGTTTAGGTTGCCAACACCAGTGTATACATGGAAGGCTGCTAAGAAAAAATATCCTCAACATTTCTCTGTTCACTCACCAGCCTACTCCTGACCCAATCCTAAATACACTCATCAGAAAGAAGTTCTTAACTTCCAAAAATGTTTAACAGAAACAAAACTAAAAATTCTTAATAGGTGAGCTCTCGCAAACACATAGAGCTGGGGTCCTCAAACTTTTTAAGACGAGGGTCGGGTTCACGGTCCCTCAGATTGTTAGGGAGCTGGACTATAGTCTGAAAAAAATAAATTCCTAATCAGACTGCACATCTTATTTGTAGTGCAAAAAAACCCCCAAACAAACATGGAAGAACCATACAATATTTAAAAAGATGAACAATTTTAGCCAATATAAACTTACCAGATTTCAATGGGAAGTGTGGGTCTGCTTTTGGCTGATAAGATGATCAAGTTTATTGGGATTATTGTTGTTGTGTGCCTTCAAGTCATTTCAGATTTAAGGGCGACCTGAAGTCTACAGTTTAAGGCGGGGGACGGGTAAATTACTTTGGAGGGCTGCATTCGGCCCGTGGGCCTTAGTTTGGGGATCCCTGACATAGAGGATGTGGGTGTGTATGATGGACTAAAAAAAACTGCAGCCATCTTATGGATATAAAACTGTAATTTCAATAATTGTATGTAATTAAAACCCTCCAATTTCAATAATGTGTATGTTTGAAATTCAAACTTGGATGTGAAGGGTGGTAGCTTTTTATTTGGAATCCTGCTCCCACATATTTGCTACTGCTGCCATGACGTCTGAGCATGTATGAAGGAAATAATACCAGGCAATGGGTTGTTGTGAGTTTTCCGGGCTGTATGGCAATGTTCCAGAAGCATTCTTTCCTGACATTTCACCTGTATCTATGGCAGGCTTCTTCAGATGCAGGTGAAACGTCAGAAGAGAAGGCTTCTGAAACATGGCCATGTATTTTGGGCTTGGACTCATGTTAGCTGCCCCAAGTCCCCTTTGGGGAGATGGTGATGGGTTATAAATAAAGATGATGATGATGATGATGATTATTATTATCATATATCCCAAAAAACTCACAACAACCCAGTAATTCTGGCCACGAAAGCCTTCAACAATACAATACCAGGCAATGTTTTTTCCTGTGATTACTGTTGATCACATTCATCATCCAATCTGTATTAGTGGGCCTTTTCAGAGTTTAAGACTCCAGGACTAAGGAAAACTATTTCATCAAGGGATATCTGCAGAGCATTAAATGTTGGATCTAAAACAAGAATGCAACCATTTTTCGGAATGTATGATGCTCAAACATTTTAATATAAATGCTTTGTAAAGACAGCAATCCTATACCCAATTACCTGGGAGGAAGCTCCAATGAGCTCAGTGGGATATGCATCTGAGTAGACATGTCTAGAATCAGCCTGTAAGTCTTTCATTTTTTTATACCTCCAATTAATTGCACATATCTTCATAGCAGAGAGGTGAATAGATGTGTATGTAGTATCTATTCCCAAGCATTAACAGAGTGATCAATGCTTCTAAGAAATTTCAGAGGTATACAAAGTATAGCTAATGCACAAGAGGATCCAAATTGCATAGAACACAATTCAATTTTTATGTTTTATCCATGATTGCTGGGCCAAATATTTTATGCAGACTTTTTAAATGCCATAAAAAGATATAAATATATATATATATATTCTGTACTAAATGTCGGGAAAAGGAGGGAAATAACTAATTGTGCTGTTAATCATATTACTTTGTATTAAACACAAACGAGCATGTTAATTATGTGCATGTACAATTTTTTTATAACTACACTGTGAAGATGAGGAAGTTGCTACATCTTTCTACAACAGACACTTGACAGCATTTGATATAGCAGTGGACTGTTTTAAAGCCCTGAGAGACAAGTTACACAGATGTAAGCTGCTTGTAGTTTATTGGATTTGACTCCCTGCGAAGATTGCAAGATGACAAAGAATTAACCTTTAAATCCACCGTCTTACCTAAAGAAGCCTTCACACACAGAAGGCTGCATTTTGTTGCTATTCAAGGACGCCCTTAATATTGATCTTTGCAATGCCCTTCCCTCTGTTCAGATGAAAAATGTAATTATCTCAAGTAACATTAAACATACAGTGCAATATACTTCAAGGAATTGGTACCATGTAAAAATATGTTGATCATATTATCAATGTGCTCAATTAGTATATATGTATATTTACTCTTTAGTTCTTTTACTACGTGCCACAGTCAACTGGCACCTTTTGAAATGACTGGGGCATAGCTATATATAGCAGTGTGTTCTCCAGATAGGCAACATGTTTGTTTCATTGAAAAATCCTGTACTGAAAGAATTCCTTATGATTTTGCTTGGGAACCAAATAATGCCAATACTTTTATGTGGACTATATATTGAGAAACATATACATGGAATTATGTTACGGAGTACACTGAACAGAGATTACAATCTTTGTTTACGTCTCATTTCATGCTCTGGATGACAATCTAAAGCAGGGGTCCTCAAACTTTTTAAACAGAGGGCCAGATCACAGTCCCTCAAACTGTTGGGAGGGCTGGATTATAATTTGGGAAAAACACAGGAATCAATTCCTATGCACATTGCACATATCTTATTTGTAGTGCAAAAATACTTAAAATACAATAATTAAAATGAACAATTTTAACAAACATAAACTTACTAATATTTCAATGGGAAGTGTGGGCCTGCTTTTGTCTGATGAGATAGGATTGTTGTCGTTGTTGTTGTGTGCTTTCAAGTCGTTTCAGACTTATGTTGACCCTGAGCGAGGGCCAGGTAAATGACCTTGGAGGGCCGTATCTGTCCCCGGGCCTTAGTTTGAGGACCCCTGCTCTAAAGCAAGATTATTGTTCACTCAGTACTAAGGGGTCGGAAACCATAGATAATGCATACACTGAATGTATATGAGTTACCCAAGCCATGCAATTTTATTTCTTTATAAAAATAAAATATGGTGTACTATCACATTTCAGTTAACAGTTGATTATCCAGTCATACACATTTCAGGATTGGTGGCCAGAATCAAGAACCACCCTGGTACAATGCTTTTGAGTGTTGAACAAGAAATCTGAGAAACTGGGTCTGAATTTACACTGAGCCCTGGAAACCCATCACTGATCTCAAACCGTAAAGAAAGGCAATGGCAAACCTTCTTTGAAAAAATCATGTCAACAAAACCCTAGAATAGGTTGACATAAGTTGAAGACCACTTGAAGAGAAAAAAAGAACACAATAGGCAGAGCTAAAACTCAGCTCTATGAAGAAGATACCATTTTAGGTTGTTTTTTTCCCCTCTTCCCCCTTTTTTCCTCTTATCTGAGCAATGGGTACCGTGTAAGGGAAGTACAGTAATTCCTTTGGATCCGTCTTGCAAAACTATCTATCTATCTTCTCAACCCTGAGGGGGATTCAGAGTGGCCTCACATATCAGCAACAATTCAATGCCTTAAAATAACATACAATTGGTAAACATTGACATTAAAACCAGAGAATTAAAACATCTAAATACAATTACATCAATTATTAAAATCACATAATCCAAAATCAATCTAGGGCCATTACAATTGTCATTTCACAGATTCTACGTTCATTTATTGCACTGCAGTTATTCTCCAAAAGCTTGGTCCCATAGCCATCTTTTGATAAAACTTTATACTCCACCACCATCTCCTCAACGGGTACTCAGGGCGGCTAACATGAGGCCAAGCCCAAACAAGTTACAACAAATCAAAATAAAATACATACAGCAATTAATAACATCAAATGAAATGTAAACAAAACAACTTAATGCAAAATCAAATACAAGAAATGAAATAAGAAAACAAAAATAAAGTTTTAACTTTCTTTCTGAAGGCTAGAAGGGAAGGAGCTGATTGAATATCCTTGGGGAGCGAGTTCCATAGGTGAGGGGCCACCACTAAGAAGGCCCTGTCTCTCGTCCTCACCAACTGCTCCTGCGAAGGAAGTGGGACCGAGAACAGGGCCTCCCCAGAAGATCTTAATCTCTGCAATGCTTCATAGAGGGAGATATATTCGGACAGGTAAACTGGGCTGGAACCATTTAGGGCATGGTAGTGGTAGTTTTGCAAGACATTCAATCGCCTCTTCTGCTAGCTCTTGCGCTAGCTTGCAACTTGAATTTCTGCTTGTATCTCGAATCAAAAATACCAACGGGGGATGGCTCGTAATGCAAAAAAACTCGTAAGTAGGGACGCTCGTAAGTTGAGGTTCCACTGTAGTTGGCAAAAAAGTCTTTTTAAAAAAGTCAAAATCAATCTTCCTCTGCATATCTATGTTTCAAAAACATTTAGCCATACAAATGAAAGGTGTTTATTTATTTATTTATTTAATATAGTTGTTCCCTGCCCTTCTCATCCCCAAGGGGGGACTCAGGGCAGCCTCACAGCAAACACCATTTGGTGCTATCATAATGATAAAAACAATCAACAAATTCATTTAAACAAAACATTAAATAAATAGTTGTTAAAAAACGCCAATTAAAATCTGGTTCCAGGTTAATTCATTGTCACTTCGAAATTGCTTATGTCTTTTTCATAGAAGCCGCTGTTCAATGGTCAAACGCAAGGTCCCACAGCCAAGTCTTGAGTTTCATTCTAAAGGTATATCTGATCAATGATCATTCTCTCAAATGAGAATGGAAAACTCAGATAGGCTGGTTGTCAACAAGACCAAATACGACTGCTGAAAGAAGGGAATAATCAGCATGCTTAGGCTAAACCCAGAAGCCTGCAGAAGTACAAAACATTAAAAAGACAAAAGAAAACTAAAAGCAACAAACACTGACATTTTCAACCGGCCCTATTAAAAGCAATCAAAATTCAGTAGAAGAGAAATTGGCCTGCATACGTTCTCTGTGACTTAAGGTAGCCTTAGAGCTGAGCACAACTGGCTAACTCACATTCTGAGCAAGAATATTCCCGTTAAGTTGTGAGGACATAATGCAAAATATTACATTAGGTCCTCACCACTTAACGGGAATGTTCTTGCTCAGAATGTGAGTTAGCCAGTTGTGCTCAGCTCTGTTGCAGGTCCCATATATAGGTATACTATTGAACAATTCAGTTACACGACCAAGTGCCTCTTTGTCAAAACATAATTTAATGAATATTTTTAACAAATGCATTTCAGGCACTAAATAAACAGTATTTTTTCTAAGCAGCTATGGTTTCATTAGGGATAAGCAAATAAGATATCCTTCTGACATTTTGGACCAAAATCTTTAAAAAATCCAGTTCACAGCAGATGGTATGTGAACTTGTTCCCAGATGTAAGCCACTGAAATATGTTGAACAGTTCCAAGAAAAGGTATTTTGGATCAGAGGGCTGGAGATGGGATCCAGCAGTGATGGAAAATTAAGCCTTCTCAGATAGAAGAGGATTATTTTCAAAGCATTATCACCTAACCTATACTTTTGCACACCATTTATTGTGTCAACAGTTATGTTTTATCTTAGCTCAGAGGAAAGGGAAGATCTATGTTCTTACATTAGGCCTGGGGCTTTTCTTCTGTCTCTTCTCCAGACCACAGACAAAACAAAATTGCATCTTGGTGGCTCTTTAAAGTTTCTGTAAATTGCCTTTTTATCTTAGAATTATGATTCTGCAAAAGTATATGTGCTGGATCTTGGAAACCTCTTTCTTGGAAGGAATGGATCTGCTCCCAGAAGGTGTTTTTACTTGACTACCAGATACTCCCCTTTCAACACGACACATCCCATGACATTTAACGGGCTGTCTCCAACATCTGTGTATCTTCAGAAGGTTGGTGGGAGAGAGGAAATGTGCTTCTGTCAGAAGAGCTGCACATGTCCTAATTCATTTTTTAAAAAGTCTTGGGACATTTTTTCAAAAAATTTCTCTTTGCCAAAAACTTGCATAGTCTAAAAAAAGAAAACAAATGCCAAAAAAACTCACAGCATGACATAAATAAAACCACATGTAATGATAAATGTGTGTTATGAAATGTGAAAGCTTGATATTTACTGACAGATGTTGATGATTCATAAAAACGTTTGTAGAGATGTGTGCCACATTTCAGAGAAACAAGTCTTGAAAGTATTCATCAAATTCTTCCTCCCTATAAAAACAAAACATATTAAAGCAAGAATTAGCAATCCCTTCAATTTACAGACACCAAGGTTATAATGCAGCATAAATTGTTGGCATTACAAGAATATTGGCTGGTGTTTTGATAGTTGTTTGGAGTCAATGTATGGTTAGAAAATGATACTGCAAAGGTGCTGTGTCAAGGCTCCAAGTCATGCAGATGACAGATCTAACACTGGGTTGCTGTGAGTTTTCCGGGCTATATGGCCATGTTCCAGAAGCATTCTCTCCTGATGTTTTTCCTGCATTTATGTTTTGCCTGCATCCTCCATAGGTTGTGAAGACTGTTGCAAACTAGGACAAGTGGGGTTTATATATCTGTGAGATGTCCAGAGTGAGAGAAAGAACTCTTGTCTGAGGCAGGTGTGAATGTTGCAATTGACAAGCATGTAATAGCTTTGCAGCTTAACTGTCTGGCTCCTTACTGCCTGAGGGAATCCTTTGTTGGGAGGTGTTAACCGGCCCTGATTGTGTCATGTCTGGAATTCGGCCATTTTTGAGTGCTGCTCTTTATTTACTGTCCCGATGTTAGAATTTTTAAATACTGGCAAGCAGGTTTCGTTCATTTTCATGGTTTCCTCCTTTCTGTTGAAATTGTCCACAGGTTTGTGGATTTCAGTAGCTTCTCTGTGTAGCCTGAAATGATGGTTGTTAGAGTGGTCTAGCATTTCTGTGTTCTCAATACAGCTCTAAGGAGAAGTAAACAAGTTCAATTGTTGCTCCCCCCCCCCCCCAAAAAAAAAAAGTATTCCAGTAACTAACTGCGAAAAACCCAAAAAGCTTGGATGTGGTTAGGGCACAAGAAATGACATCCTACTTTTCCAACCTCCCCCCCTTCCCCAGTAACAGCAAAAAAGTCTTCCTGCCTTGTTCAGAATTTTTCCTGCCTTCTTCTCCCCATTGTGTGCCCAAAACAGGTCACTTCACCCCATCACATCCTTCACTGAAGGATTTTTCCCTGAATGATGTGTCAGCGAAGACCCTGAACAGATGCCACCATTTAATTTATAATAATAATAATAAGAGGAAAGACGTCGGGAGCTTGGATTTCCCATCTGGGAATTAGGAAAATCTAAATAATAATTTTGAAAAGTGGCATTTGTGATTATATCACTTAGCATATTGCCTAAGAATCAAATGCCTATGAACTTAATGAAACAGATCGCTACATTACCATAGTTAGTCTGAAGCTGTTAGCCACCTTTTTCATTAGTATAATTGAACTCAATTTAAATTAAAACTATTGGGACTGACTTTCTTCACATCCACTAACAGTCATTTTGCTTGTGAAGCACTCGCACCTTAAAGGAACACATATATTTCACCTTTAAAGTCCATACTGCTTTTTGTCTCCCCCTGAGGACAACACTGAATGTGGAGTAGAGTAACTCTCCTTAGAGTCATGGAGTTGTGGAGAGAAAAAGCGGGGCGGCCGATGAAAAGGTCCTCTGGGTGACAGTCACCAGTAGGGTTGTGGCTGGTTGGAGTAGCCACTCCCCAGAGGACCTAAGTGCTCGAGGTGGATTGTACAGGAAATCTGGACCCAAACCATATGGGGCTTCAAAGGTCAAAACCAACACTTTGTCATTTGCCCAGAAACTAACTGGCATCCAGAGGAGTGACTTTAGTATAGATGTAATATGCTCACTCCTAGATGCTCCTGTAACCAATCTGGCTGCTCTATTTTGAACCAGCTGGAATTTCCGAACTTGGTTCAAAGGTAGGAGAATGTAATGTGCATTGCAGAAGTTCAACCTTAATCACCACCATCTTTAGGTACTCCAAATCTAGGAAGTGGCACAGCTGGCATATCAATCAAAGTTAATAGTAAACACTCCTGAATGTCAAGTCAACTTGTGCTGATATTTGGAGATGGATCCAGGAACACTCCCAACAGTCTTTCAGGGAAAGTGTAATGCCATCCAGAAATGATTGACACACCTCCATCCCTAGGTTAGGATCCTTAATGGCAAGCCCCTCTGTTTTGTCTAGATTCAGTTTCAATTTGTTTTTCCTCATCCAGCCCATTACCTCCTTTGGGTATTTGTTTAGAGGAGACATGCTATCCTTAGCTAGAGCTGTTCTGAAAGGCATGGAGAAATATATTTCTGTGTCAGCAGCACACTGATAACACCTCAACCCATGCCTCCAGATGATCTCTCCCAGTGGTTTCACATAAATGTTAAAAAGCATTGGGGATAGAACGGCCCCTTGTGGGATGCCATATAACAGCTCCTCTTTTGAGAAGCAGCTATCCCCAAGCACCACCTTCTGAAACCTGCCTGAGAGGAATGACCGGAACCTCCGATTCCAGGCCACCTATCCCCTCCAAAACATCCACTAATCTCCAAGTCCCATTATATACAGTGGAGCAGTAAAATTGTGTCCTTTATATAAAATGAGTAAATCAAGGTTTGCTTTTGGGATTTTCAAAATTATTTTCAAGCTGTGGATGATTGAATTAGTGGATAGAGAATCCCTGGATATGGAGGGCCAACCGTATGTTTAAATTGGGAGTGAATTGAAAAGCCGTGATCATTGTAAAGAAGAGTTATTAGACAGAGGACTCACCGTGTTTTCTCTTCTGTGTCCTGTGGTGGACCCTTCCAGAAATCAGCATCTGAAGGACCATCTTGCTGGTCACCCTTGTCAGAATCTGTTAAGCAATTCAAAAGTGTATCAAATAATTTTATGTTTGTATTTTAAACTGTGATGACTGACAAATCTGAGTTATATTAATGAAAAAAACACTGTCTGTGAGGTTATGAAAGTATTCAATCGAGTGCAGAAACCAAAAAAATTAATGACCCAAATGATGAAAAATCTACAACCAAAACAGAATTTAAAAGCAAGATAACAGGTCCAGGGATATGTTCTATTTATATTTTATTAACTTAATAGCTGGGGTCTCCGGCATTGCCCAGGTTATTTGGAAAAGTACATTTTTAATTGCACAAAATGCATAAGGTTGTGGGTGAACTACAACTCACATCATGGCAGGTTAACCCTGAAAAACTCCATTAGTACTTAAAGTTTGTTATGTTGGGCAAGTTTGCTCTAGATGCATCATTGGAGGGGTTCAGTGTGCTCTCTGGCTGCAACTCCCACTACTGGACTCTCAAACCCCACCAGTAGGTTGAGTTAGTCATGGAGGTTCAGTGTGTCAAGTGTGGTCCAGGTCCATAATCAGTGGAGGTCAAAATTTTTCTTGTTGTGGGTAAATACAACTCTCAGAAAGGAATGTCAGTCCCATCCTGTGCCCCCCCCCCAAAAAAAACCCTCCAGTATTCAAATTTTGGCATATCAGGTATGCATGCCGAGTTTTCTCCAGATCCATTCTCTCCTGATGTTTCACCTGCATCTATGGCAAGCATCCTCAGAGGTAGTGAGGTCTGTTGGAACTAGGAAAAGGGTTTATATATCTGTGGAATGACCAGGGTGAGACAAAGGACTCTTGTCTGCTGGAGCTAGGTGTGAATGTTTCAACTGACCACCTTGATTAGGATACAATGGGCTGACTGTGCCTGGAGCAAACTTTTGTTGAGAGGTGATTAGATGTCCCTGCCTACTTCCTCTCTGTTGTTGTGCTGTTGCAATTTAGAGTTTTTTAATACTGGTAGCCAGATTTTGTTCATTTTCATGGTTTCCTCCTTTCTGTTGAAATTGTCCACATGCTTGTGGATTTCAATGGCTTCTCTGTGTAGTCTGACATGGTGGTTGCGAGAGTGGTCCAGCATTTCTGTGTTCTCAAATAATATGCTGTGTCCAGGTTGGTTCATCAGGTGCTCTGCTATGGCTGACTTCTCTGGTTGAAGTAGTCTGCAGTGCCTTTCATGTTCCTTGATTCGTGTTTGGGCATGCTGCGTTTGGTGGTCCCTATGTAGACTTGTCCACATCTGCATGGAATACGGTAGACTTCTGCAGAAGTGAGAGGATCACTCTTGTCCTTTGCTGAATGTAGCATTTGTTGGATTTTCTTGGTGGGTCTGTAGATAGTTTGTATGTTGTGTTTCCTCATCAGCTTCCCTATGCGGTCAGTGGTTCCCTTGATGTATGGCAAGAACACTTTTTCTCTGGGTGGATCTTTGTCTTTACTCTCGTGGCTTGTTCTCGGTCTTGCAGCTCTTCTGATGTCTGAGGTGGAGTATCCACCCAAACATCCAGTTCACCATGGAAAAAGAAAATGAAGGAAGACTGCCTTTTCTAGATGTCGTAGTCATCCGCAAACCAGATCAACAATTGAGTCACACCGTTTACAGAAAACCCACACACACAGATAGATATCTACATAAAAACTCCAACCATCACCCAAGTCAAAAAAGAAGCACCATCAAAGCCTTGGCAGACCGTGCAAAAAGAATCTGCGAACCCCACCTCCTCCAAGATGAACTGAACCACCTCAACTGGGCTCTCCAGGCCCCTTTGAGCAAATCTTGCCAAGAAAACCCAAAAGGTTGGAAATGACTTGAAGGCAAAGAACAACAACAAGCATCACTTAGTTCCTTGCCTGTATCAGAAGTGTCCGATTCTTCTAATGATGTCTGATCTAAAAAAAAGAAAAAAAAAGAAAGTGATTACATAAGCATTTTGCTAAGTGTCTGTGGAAGTTAGGGTAAGAATGGTTTTTAACTGTGATTTTTTAAATACTGTTTATATTTAATCTTGTTTTAATGTTTGCATATTGATATATTTTAAATTGTATGCTAATGCTTTTATGTTATGCCACTTCAAATCCCCTTTGGGATATTAATAAATAATAATAATAATATTTATTTGGGGTAGTAATAAATTATTTATTATTATTTATTATTATTATTATTTATTTGGGGTATTTTTTTTTGTCGTCTCAGGAGCGACTTGAGAAACTGCAAGTTGCTTCTGGTGTGAGAGAATTGGCTGACTGCAAGGACGTTTCCCAGGGGATGCCCAGATGTTTTATCATCCTTGTGGGAGGCTTCTCTCATGTCCCCGCATGAGGAGTTGGAGTTGATAGAGGGAGCTCATCCATGCTCTCCCCGGATTCGAACCTGCGACCTGTGGGTCTTCAGTCCTGCTGGCACAGGGGTTTAACTCACTGCGCCACCGGGGCTCCATTTGGGGTAGTAATAAATAATAATAATAAGACCTCACAGCTTCAGGGTGCCTGCCATAGATGCAGGCAAAATGTCAGGAGAGGATGCTTCTAGAATATGGCCATATAACCTGAAAAACCTACAACAACCCAGTGATTCCAGCCATGAAAGCCTTCGACAATACAATAGTAATAATAATAATAATAATAACAATGAATGTATATGTATTGTATTGAAACTTTATGTTAAAATGTTAATATACTCTCATCTAACCCAGAGGTGCAAATCCTCTGCTTATGGGCCACATGAGCCCTTTATCCCATGTGTGCTGATTTCAAACCTTGTCCAGCACAAGAGTGGAAAGAGTAAGGAAATTGAGTGCTCCTTATCTCAAATTCTTCCAAAAGACCATATTTTTTATGTAAGCATATTTTTACACATGCTTACATAAACCAGAATGTAGTTTGTATATTGCACGACCCACAGGAGAGCAAGGCCTGAATCCCTATTCAGCCATTGAAACCCACAGGGTGACCCTCAGCAACCCATAGAGTGACCACACTCTCTCAGCCTCAGAGGAAGGCAAATTCAACCCTTCTCTGAAGTAATCCTGCCAAGAAAACCCCCTTGGGGTCACCACAAACTGGGAATGTCTTCAAGGCACACAGCAACAAAGTTATGTGTGCACAAGCAGTGATACCATGACTTAAGAGTTTGGTTCATCCCATGACTGAGCTCTTAACTCAAAACACTCTGATCTCAAAGTGAGATTCCCCACTGAAATGTATTGAAATGCTATTAATCTGTTCCTCCCAGAAACCCCCATAATTTTTGTTCCATGTTTTTAAATAAGAAAATGTACTTTATAAATAACAAATAACATATAAATCACATTCACATGGAGCAATAAAAAGAAAGCTCAACTTTAAAATAGAAGCACAAAGTTGGGATACAATGGTAGAAGCACGAAGTTGTAGCACATTGGTAGAAGTACAATGTTGTGGCAAGGAAGCACAAAACACAAAGCGGCAGAAGCATCATTTTCATACTGTACTCATTTCAGCTCCCTCCCTCTCCTGCGCTGTCTCCCTCTCTCTTTCCATGAAGCCAAACATACCATGAATAAAATCCACACAAAATCAACTAACTCAACATTCCTCAAAGTGAACAACAAGCACAAGGCACAGACGCCGTTCCCTTGAAGCTCTAAAGCCTTGGCTCTCGCGTTAGTGCTCTCTCATGGTAGCTCTTAACTCAAAATGCTGCTCTTATGTCAAAGCAATACCCAGGCAAAACAACAGCACTTAGCCCCAAATGCTCTGAAGTTGGGACACTCCTAAGTAGAGATTCCATTGTATGTAGGTGAGCATGTGTAGCCCCTAATACCAGAGCCATAACCTGATATAGTCCTTGAAGCTAAAAATGCTTGCACCCTTGCTTTAATAAAATTGATACTTCTTTTACCTTTATGGCTCTTCTTTTTCTTTGGCTTTGTTTGGTGTGGTGCAGATGACTTAGACTTCTTGCAATTCAATACTTCAAAGCTTTGTTCTGTGCTTTTTCTCTTGTTTGTTGGCTTGACCTCCTTTTTCCTTTATAAAAAAATAAATGTTACAAGGTCAACCTATGTGTCCACCCATCTACAAAAAATACATACTTTTTTTTTTAAAAAAGGGATTATTTCAAAAATTACACAACAGCTGATTTTTTTTAAAAAAGTAAGTATTTGACTAGTTTTTAATTTGGGCAAGTTCAATTGGGGCCTGGATCCAATTGGTATCACAATGATGCCATTCTATTATACACAAATTTTAAAAAAAGCAGTTTGAGCCTACTGGGGCAGCAGAGATTTCAAAATAAGGACAGTACTAGTTTTCATCACTAACATATAATATTTTTGGTATGAAATCAGTGAAACTACAATAACTAAGAAAACATAATGAGAGCAGTCTCCATTTTTTTCTCAGTTAAATTCTCACATGCTTTTGCCACCAAGGAAATGCAGCAGTCACTGTAAAGTATAGACAAAGCAACTGTACTTTCAAGCAGTGTCTTACCTGTGATGAAAGTTTAATTTATAAGAGCATTCTGGACAGAGTCCTAAAAAAAGAAGAAGAATGAAATGAGAATTTTTCCTATTCATACAAAAGGTTGTCAGGAATGATGTCCAAAAGTGTTCCATTCATTTATTTCATGATTGCCACACATAAAATTTCTTTTTGCCCATATGTATGCCAACTATGGGCCCTTCCACACAGCCATATAACCCAGAATATCAAGACAGAAACCCCCACAATATCTGCTTTGGACTGGGTTATCTGATGCTATGTGTTATCTAATGCTATGTTGTTTATTTTATTGGAATTTGTATCTTATTTTATTGTATTTTGTTGTTTGGGCTTGGTCTCATGTAAGCCACCCCGAGTTCCCATTAGGGGAGATGGTGGCGGGGTATAAATAAAGATTATTATTATTATCTGAGTCCACACTGCCATATGTTGTTCATTCGTTCAGTCGCTTCCGACTCTTCAAGACCTCATGAACCAGCCCATGAACCATATATTCCAGTTCAAAGCAGAAAATGTGGGATTTTATTCAGCTGTGTGGAAGAGGCCTAAGACTGTTAGTAACATCCAACATACCACCTGCCACACCCAGCACTTTTTAACCTGTACCCATCACTGGCCCGGCCCTGGTTTTTATTGCGTAATGATGTAATTGTTTTGTTATTGCTTATGTTTTAATTTGCTTTAAATTGTATTGTTATTGTTTTGCTGTTGTTGTGTTGAGGCCTTGGCCTTTGTAAGCCGCATCGAGTCCTGCGGGAGATGCTAGCGGGGTACAAATAAAGTTTAATAATAATAATAATAATATAATAATAATAACATTTTCAACTCTTGATACATTGTGCATGCAGTACACTTGGTCCATCAAATTGGTCTATTAAACCAATTTTGCTCTGAACTGTCATTTCTCTTCTGAACAGGAAAAGGAAGATGGAAAATTCTGTTAAAAAAAGCCTGAATTCACTCAAGAAAATGCTGGAATATCATTTGTATGAATACTAAAGACTACACTATGTTTATGATAGTGTTATATCTACAGCAATGTTTCTCAAACTCTGCTCCTCTAGCTGTTAGGAATTGTGGGAGTTGAAGTCCGGTTGTGGAACACTCTCCCTACAGACATCAGGCAGGCGCCCTCTCTTTTGTCCTTCCGAAAAAGCCTCAAGACGTGGCTGTTCGAGAGGGCATTTAATTAAGTGCTATAGTAATGTGGTAAAGACGACTGGAATGGTACAAGGAATACGAGATTGGTCATGATTCTATTACGAGACGAAGCGGATTAGTTAGTGTAATTTTAACTGTTGTATTGTTGTATGGTTAATATGCTGTTGTACTTGTCTTTGTGTGAATTGCCTTTTGTACTGTACACCGCCGTGAGTCGCCCGAGTGGGCTGAGAATGGCGGTTAATAAATGATCCAAATAAATAAATAAATAAATAAGTCCAAAACATCTGCAGAAGCAGAGTTTGAGAAACACTGATCTACAGGATTCAATTACAGGTGAGGACTTGAGCTAGACAATTTTTAATGTATCTTGAACAAATCTTATGATCTGTCATCTGTAGAATAAATCCTAGAGGGGAAATGAATCTTGCATTAATATTTCGAGCATTGCATAAAAAGTTTTAGTGTTTCAGTGTAGTTAGCAAAATTGTTCGGCTGGGAGAAAAGTGCAATAATAACAATAACAACAACAACAACAACAATAAGACCAACAACAAGCCATTAGAACAAATGCCATCAAAGCTAGAATTGAAAAGTCAACGATAGATCCCAAATGTAGACTCTGCAAGGAAGCAGATGAAACAACAGATCACATCCTCAACTACTGCAAGAAGATTGCACAGACAGACTACAAGCAGAGGCATAACACCGTTGCTCAGGTGATTCATTGGAACCTGTGCCACAAATACCATCTGCCTGCGACAACTAACTGGTGGGATGACAAGACAGAAAAAGTCACAGAAAATAAGCACGTCAAACTCCTCAGGAACTTCCGAATTCAGACTGACAGAATTTTGGAGCGCAATACTCCTGACCTCATGATCGTGTTAAAAAATAAAGTATGGATTGTCGATGCTGCAGTCCCAGGTAACAGCAGGATTCAAGAGAAGCAACTGGAAAAGATGACACAATATTAGGATTTAAAGATCGAACTACAAAGACTGTGGCACGAGCCAGTCAAGGTGGTCCCAGTGGTGATCGGCATACTGGGTGCAGTGCCTAAAGAGACCTTGACCTGCACTTAAAATTACAAAATTACAATCTGCCAGCTTCAGAAAGCCACCTTACTGGGATCTGCATGCATTATTCGCCGATACATCACACAGTCCTAGACACTTGGGAAGTGTCCAACGTGTGATCCAATGCAACAACCAGCAGAATGATCTTGTCTGCTGGGGACTCATCTTGTTCTATTTCAAATAATAATAAACTTTATTTGTATTCTGCCCTATCTCCCCAAGGGGTCTCAGGGCGGATTCCAACATAACAATGGCAAACATTCAATGCCTACATAAAACATATAAAATCCCAGAATTAAAACCTAACACCAAATTAAAAACCTAGCATCAGTAAATTAAATTTGACATCAATAAATTAAACTACAGAATCAGACAAAATTCTATAATAACACAGATCTAAACAAAACATTCACATTAGTGTACAACAGTCAGCTACTGGTTTTTAACAGCTATGAGGGAGACAAACGTGGCTCTTTGAGACCTGAAATCCCAACCGTTGGACTTTCACCCAACAACTCTGCTCTCAGTTGTGATTGTTTGCTCTTTTCTGCTTTCAGCTGGAAAGCTAGGAGAGAGAACCTTGTTCAAATTGTGGAAGGAGAAAGCCCGGATGCACCGAACAAACATGAAGAGTTACTTCTTTCAGTTCGAGAATTCTGCTTAGTTTTGGTTCTCACCAGACCTGGAAAGGCTTAAAATGAAGCAAGGTAGACTCCCCCGCAAAACCTCCTCACCTCAATAAAGGAAATTGTTTTCCTAGCATCAGTAAACAACAGTGTGACCGTGACTGGGTATCTGCTTGGGACAATGTCCCATTGAAAAGACTGCTCAGGGGTCATGATGTCCTAGCTGCTCTGGCTCAACATGATACAGTTTGAATCTGATAAAAAACAACAGTTCAGTTTGGCCAAACTCCAATGAAGCTGAAATGGGGATAGGTTGTACTCTCTTTTGTAAAATTTGGCTTGGAGATTTCCTTTGACTAGGGGTCTTAAAACACTCACTATACTTTTCTACACTGTGAATATCTGTCCAAACCTCCAAATCCATTAAAATGTATCATTGAAGGCTTTCACAGCTGAAATGACTGGGGTGTTGTGTGGTTTCTTGGCTGTATTTATTTATTTATTTATTTATTTGCTTTATTTATATCCTGCTCTTATCACCCTTGCAGGGGATTCAGAGCAGCGTGCAAAATGGCAAAATTTAATGCCACATATTCCACAACATAAAATACAAAATATTAGCGATAGACAATTAAAAAATATAACTGTTAAACCATGATATGTAGACCTGAGTTGTCATTTGTGTGCTACATTGTGCCGATTCCGCACTGCGCTACCCAAACGCCTGCTTCCAATCATGGCCGTGTTCTGGCAGCATTTTCTTCTGACGCTTCGCCTGCATATGTGGCTGACATCTTCAGGATCCTCTGAAGATGCCAGCCACATATGCAGGCAAAACGTTAGGAGAAAATGCTGCTAGAACACGGCCATACAGCCCGGAAATCACACAACACCCCATTAAAAGAAACTTAGTAAGGCTAATTCTATTGACTCACTTAATTTAACAAGGGCATTTTTCTTTTCTCCATGCTCAACATAGCCAAAATTCACTTCCCAACTCTTCAAACCTTCTTTTTCATCACAGTGCTTATTTCCACAGGAAAACTGACCTACAGAAAGGAAAAAACAGAAGAAAGTAATAGTAGATTCATTAATTCACAGCGATTTGCTTCATTACATGGCATATATCTATATAAATAGAAATGTAATGTTCGTTTGTGGGATTAACAGAACTCAAAAACCATTGGACGAATTGACACCAAATTTGGACAGCATACACCTAACAACCCAATGTATGTCCTTCACTCAAAAAAATGATTTTGTCATTTGGGAGTCATAGTTGCTGGGATTTATAGTTCACCTACAATCAAAGAGCATTCTGAACTCCACCAATGATGGAATTGAACCAATTTTGGGACACAGAACTCCCATGACCAACAGAAAATACTAGAAGGGTTTGGTGGGCATTGACCTTGAGTTTGGGAGTTGTAGTTCCCCTACATCCAGAGAGCACTGTGGACTCAAACAATGATGGATCTGAACCAAACTTGGCACGTATACTCAATATGCCCAAATGTGAATACTGGTGGAGTTTGGGGGAAAAAGACCCTGATATTTGGGAGTTGTAGTTTCTAGGATTTATAGTTCACCTACAATCACAGAGCATTCTGAACTCCACCAATGACAGAATTGGGGAAAACTTCCCAAACAGAACCACCATACTTAAGGCTATCAAATCCAACTCCCTTCACCAGGGCAAGAAAACGTAATCAAAGCCCTCCTGACAAAGAGCCATCCAGTCATAAATATAGATAGATATATATGATTCACACACACACATATATAGTATCATCGATTTGAAAGGGACCCCTAAAGAAGGACAATTATATGTCGCATGTTCCAGAGTGGGCAAACCAGACACTCTCCACATCAACACTGACAAAGAAACAACAAGGAATACTGTTTACCCACAAGCATAAAGGAATTACATATATTAGAAACCATTACTTTATTTTCCAGATAACCAGACTGGGCCACAGCAACGTGTGGCAGGGGACGGCTAGTTGATTATAAGCTCGGAAGTAACATGTCACAAGCACATTATTAACAGCCAAATCTGTTTTTAAGAATCCCATTACTCCAATAAAAAACAAAGTAAGAGATTAAATTGGAACAAAGCAGATTGAAACTATGTAGGATTTTGCATAGATAAGGGATTAGGTTGGAAAGGAAGGAATGCATTATGCAGTTAATGATCAATCAAATGTGATAGCCTATTTCCTAGTTTCAACACAATTATTTACTTAGGGGAGAAGGATGGTCCTTGGCTATGCCAGATGCAAACAATTTTATGATTCTGAAATCATATTATTTTACAACAGGAACATGTCAAACGACACAAATAGCAACATAGGAAAATACTTCACTACTTGTAAGTAATATGATACGTTCTTGATCTGGACTTCTTTCCATTTAAGCATGCTCAAAGGCTATGTTATTGTTTTTCTCCCACTTTGAACATTATGCCACACCTTGAATTGTTTTTTGCATTTCCCTTAGCATTTTTCCAAAAGTAGACAGACATACTGAGGTAAGGAAGAGTTGCAATTCGAAACAAACACTGAAAACCATTATGGTAATTCAAAATTCAGAAATCATAGCATATGTTATCGCAATTCCTTAACTTTAAAAAACACAGAATTTAGCCTTGGTAACAAAATGACCGTTACACGTGGCCGCCCTATTTATCGTCCTGTTAAACAAAACCCAAATATTCTGTGCTCAATGTCTCATGCCTGACTGGCTCTCTAATGCTGCGCTTAGGGCAAGCGGTGTGCTGTCTCTCGGAGGAAGATACATCCACATGTCTAACGGGTGGTAATAGGCTCACCTCCAGTACTGTTTTTGAAAGATTAACCTCAGAATGTTCTGCCTAAGCTGCTAACCAATGGATTGGCAGTGTCCTCAGATACTTCAGGTCTTCAGTGCAAAACCAAATGCCACGCTAAAGCCTGAACCAAAGAGCACAGGGCTGCTGCTATTCAGGCATGTCTTTCAATTTATTCGGAAAGACACCAGTCCTCAGTAGAGAGAAAGAAGATCCCATCAGTTTCATATCTGTTACTTAGGGAGAAATGAAACTTTATTTCTGCAACCCAAAGTGAAGGTGTTATTTTTTATTAAACACATTCAACCCAGCATCAAGACTTGCGCTGGTGCTATTAATCAGTATACCAAAATTTGGAAGAACAGGGAGATTGAGCAAATAAAATAAGTGTTCTTAACAGTGTTAATAGAGTCTTAATAATTTATAGATGCAACAAAAGAACTCTTCGTCAAACCTATAGTAAACTATATTAAAAAAAAGTCATACTGATCCAGTGATCAGCTTGAGCTGTTGTTGAATAAGACTGTCTTTGGAGAAATTTAGTAGAGAGGATTTAGTCCAATTAAGCATTAACATGGTGCTGAGATGGAATTTTCTACTCAATTTCTGACCAATGATGTTTTATGTAATTATGATTTTGTTGTTTATTGTTAGCGTTTTGCACTTTTACTCTGTTGTATTTGTTATTTGGGCTTGGCCTCATGTAAGCTGCTCCAAGTCCTCATCGGGGAGATGGTGGCGGGGTATAAATAAAGATTATTATTATTATTATTATTATTATTATTATTATTATTAGGCAGAACCTCAAAAACTCTGAAGATGCCTGCCATAGATGTGAGCAAAACGTCAGGAGAGAATGCTTCTGGAACATGGACATACCACCCAGGCAACTCACTGCAACTCAGTTATTCTGGCCATGAAAGCCTTCGACAACACATAGAACCTGTATTGTACCCCCACCTGCTGGAAGTTGCCTACTTTGTGAGTGACCTGTGCCTAAATCCATTAGCTCTTTCTAACAACAGTAAAGTCATTGACTCAGTTACTAATGATAAGTCTCAGTATTTGGCTGTTAGTTGTATGATGGGACCCAACAGTAATGCTATAGGTCATAAAGCTCTGCTAGTGTTACCACACTGGACTTCTTCATTCTGTAGCTGCACACTACAGTTTTATAGGGGCAGGGCAACTACACACACATATATGGCAGCCAATTGGGGTTACAGGTGCAGAAAAATGTTTGAATACCTTCCGCCTGTAGTTGGGGAGCTATGAAATAACAACAATAACAACTTTATTTTTATATCCCGCCATCCGAAGGGATTCGTGATGGCTTACAAGCGGGACCAAGAAGGTGCCCAAATACTTCTTTTGTCTCGTATGGGGTCAGAGTCATAGAATCATAGAATCAAAGAGTTGGAAGAGACCTCATGGGCCATCCAGTACAACCCCCTGCCAAGAAGCAGGAATATTGCATTCAAATCACCCCTGACAGATGGCCATCCAGCCTCTGTTTAAAAGCTTCCAAAGAAGGAGCCTCCACCACACTCCGGGGCAGAGAGTTCCACTGCTGAACGGCTCACAGTCAGGAAGTTCTTCCTCATGTTCAGATGGAATCTCCTCTCTTGTAGTTTGAAGCCATTGTTCCGTGTCCTAGTCTCCAGGGAAGCAGAAAACAAGCTTGCTCCCTCCTCCCTGTGGCTTCCTCTCACATATTTATACATGGCTATCATATCTCCTCTCAGCCTTCTCTTCTTCAGGCTAAACATGCCCAGCTCCTTAAGCTGCTCCTCATAGGGCTTGTTCTCCAGACCCTTGATCATTTTAGTCGCCCTCCTCTGGACACATTCCTGCTTGTCAATATCTCTCTTGAATTGTGGTGCCCAGAATTGGACACAATATTCCAGGTGTGGTCTAACCAAAGCGGAATAGAGCATGGGGAGCATGACTTCCCTAGATCTAGACACTATGCTCCTATTGATGCAGGCCAAAATCCCATTGGCTTTTTTTGCCACCACATCACATTGTTGGCTCATGTTTAACTTGTTGTCCACGAGGACTCCAAGATCTTTTTCACACGTACTGCTCTCGAGCCAGACGTCCCCCATTTTGTATCTTTGCATTTCGTTTTTCCTGCCAAAGTGGAGTATCTTGCATTTGTCTCTGTTGAACTTCATTTTGTTAGTTTTGGCCCATCTCTCTAATCTGTCAAGATCGTTTTGAATTCTGCTCCTGTCCTCTGGAGTATTGGCTATCCCTCCCAATTTGGTATCTGCAAACTCTCAAGGTGAGAGGATCATCAAGCTGTAATGGGGAGCATTGTACAAAGATATAGTGAATACTTTGAAGTTAGTTATGTCAGCGTAAGTCAAAAAGAATATTCCAGTCAGGGTGATATGGCTGAAAAGGGAGAGCTAGAGTCAAAGTCTTACTCAGTCATGAAGCTCACAAGGCATCATTGGATCCATTACACTACGTAACAAAATTTGAAAATAAAATTCTGTTCCTGGTTTGAAAGTGTTATTCCTGTTTAAGTATGTGATACTTACTTTGAAATGAGTCATTCTATTCCAAAAACTTCATTTTGTGGCTGTTACAAACTATGTTGAACTGACTGAGACTATGAGATATTCATTACAAAACAATAGCAAAATGTACTTCAGGATGTTCCACAAAAATGAAGTTTCTGCAGTTTAATAAACATGTTCCATGTTTTTATGATAGAACCAATTAGGAAATGATATTTATAACCCAGGAACAAAAATTCTGTTACATAGTGTTATTGTTCTTGGCAGAAGAGCTGCTAAAGCTCTGCTAGAAGAACCTATCACAATGTGTTCTTGGGAGAATAAACTATGGTAATATTCCTACATACTCCTTCCTGGGTTAAAAATACTTAAACGGCTTTTAACCTTTGCACATACATTCACTTAATTATTACGCATACAATTGGACTGCTGATATATGTAAGTATTAACTTGAGGAAATGAATATAATTAGCCTGTTGTTGTTGTTGTTTATTCATTCAGTCATTTCTGACTCTTCGTGACCTCATGGACCAGCCCCTGCCAGCGCTCCCTGTAACCTATTTCATATAGTCACAGAATGCAAATCAATTCCATACCATCTAATATAGAAAACAACTTGGCCCATGTCAAGATAAAGATGTTTGTGCCTCTTTCATACACACTAATTCATTGTTAAATTGTACAGAAAATTACTTCTGAATAATCATTTGTATCCTTTAATTTCATTTTAGAATACACACTTTAGGTCATAAACCATTACAAGCTGCCAACCTGGTTATGCAGAAGAGATATAATTTGCCGTGTTAAATAGTGACAAATATAATTGCATGGGATAATTTGATCATACTGAAATTAAATCAATATTTTTTCACACATGTATAGGAAAAAGTAGGCTTCAAACCACATCTGTGTTTGCTTTCATAAGGAGACTAGGAAAAAATGTTTTTATGACACACTGACATAAATTCTCTGTCTGATTTGAGAATGCTAGTGAAAAGACACAAAAGATGAGTCACAATAATGAAATCAGCAAAACATATTATACAACCACCATACATCGAGAAAACTTTCAAATACTGTTGAATGCTTGCGCCCCTTAGTGGTGAACTTTATTATTCTGAATGACTGATAGTTGCAGCAGTCTGAAGCAACTGATGTTTTAAAATCATAACATCAAACATGATTACTAAAATGTGTATGCATGTATGGAGCCTAATGCTTCATTCAAACAATGAGGTTTTTTTAAATATTAACAGCAATACAGTTGGAGAATGTGCTGATTATCCATATACTAAATCAACTAAAATGTTGTTGTGTGACGTCAAGTTGTATTTTTGGCTTATGGTTACACATGACATAGGAGGTGTCTATGGACAGTTCCGGCTCTTCGGCTTAGAAATGGAGATGAGAACCAACCCCCAGAGTAGGACACAGCTAGACTTAATGTCAGGGGAAACCTTTGATTTTACCTTTTATGTTTATAAAAAAAGGGGAGGACTTGCCTTTTCCTGATACGACCTCTTTTTCATGTCTCCATCTAAATCCAAACTGTAAGAAAGATTTAAAATGTAAAGTAAATATTTTGCACTAGAACATGCAAAAAACATCGAAAACTTCAACTCCAGGTGCATGAAATTACCAGAGATACCAGTTCAACCGAGAGAGCCTTCCTATCAATCAAAAGCCTTTTCTCCCTATGACATAATTCAGTAGTTCATTTACTTGATTTACAGCACTATATTATAAGAACCCATTTCCAATTGTAAAAGAACAGCAAGAATGACTGTTGTATGAATGGATCAGGTCCAGTCTCACCTGGAATTACCTTTCGTGGCCTTTTCTTAATTTTTAATTCCACTTAATCCAGTATATAGTCCTCAAGATAGTTCTGGATTTTAATCCCCATCTAATTTTCCTGCAGCAAGCTTCATCTCAATTTTCATGGCAAAATAATAACAATACGTCTAAAAGACAGAGATCTGGCAAAATCTTGTCCAGAATGTAAAACTCATCTGTTTTGAGATGTGTTCACATAGTGTTTAAAACATTGTTTCATGTGAAGTTTATACAGAATATGAAAGCCAATTTGAGTACAATTTTACAGAAAATGTTTACCTAACATTAACAATGTGAACGCCAAATGTAGATGGCATCACTTGCAAAGTATAACATATTAAGAAACTCCACTTATAAAGTAAACTAGAAAGAGAAAGAAAAGAGGGAAGAAAACTCATACATATGTGAAATGATCATTAAAGTATTTTGAAATAAGTAATGTGTTGTAGTTCAGCGTGATGGTAACGTTATTACTACTGGTAGAAGGGAGAAGAGGTTTGCACAGGAGTTAGAGGAGGAACAACAGCGAAAGCGCATTAGGGAGATAATCATGGCCCCAAGTGATTCTGAGACGTTTGAGGGCTTCTCCGATTGTGAAATGGGGGATGGGGAGGAGAGCAGGGGAGTAAAGAGGGCTACTTGCGATCCAGAGTCCGATGAGGAGCTTCAGAGGAAGCGCATCCGGGAAATACTTAGCGCTCCTACAGAGGACGACGATTTCATGGGGTTTGAAAGGAGTGATGGGTCTGGGAGTGATGGGAGAGGAGGATGAGCTGGATTGGACCCGTGTTCAACAGATTAGGGACATTTGTAACCAACCCACCTCCAGTGATGAATTTGAGGGGTTCACAGGGGATTGGCAACCGGGGAGCACTTGGCAAGATCTAAGTCTTAGCAGACGCTGGCAGAGGTGGAGGGATGGGCGCTCGGGTTCAGCTGCGGGGATGGAGGCAGCTGAGAGCGATGAGGAAAGGGTGGGGAGCTCATCATCCTCTAATGAGGAGCTGTAGATAAAAGTGGGTTCAGAATGTATGGCTCTTTGCAGAAGGCAAAGTGTCTTTATGGGACATAAATCTTTGTTACTGCCAACTCTCGAGCTTGGGTCCTTGGACTACAGATTCCTGTGTTCCTGTGATTCCTGCGTTCCAGTGTTAACATTACTCAACGGTTTGACCACGGACTGGTTTGACCAATGCTTTGGCTTTTTGTACTTAAAACATTGCTAACCTCGTGATTGAACATTGCATTGTTTTGGGACTTCGTTTTCTACTTTTTGTGACTGTGTTCTTGAACTGTGTGAATTTTGAAGCAGATTGCTGAACTTTGTGTTTAACCCGGATTAAACAGCGTTATAATCCGGGTTATATTTTTGTTGTTGGTATCGCTTCGTTTTTGATGCCAAATTGCTACTCTGACTCTTTGCACTGAAGTTAAGTGCTTTGAAAGACTATTTTTGTATAATAAAGCTGTGTTTGAACTCTTTATCTTGTGTTTCGCTCTACTTAAGGCTTCTGGGCCTTGACAAAATGAGACTGAAGATCTTTTTGTTTCATCTGCTACAATACTGAAACAATCTATTCTATTCTATTATCCACAGTTAATTTTTTTTCTGGTTATGATTATGCACCTTTCAATGGAAAATGGGTAGGAATCTTTTTATGCTTAGTCCTTTCCTCACTGCAACATTTAAGTAAAGCATGTACCTTGTTCTCTTTGTATTTACTCAGATCAGCTATACAGTACTCTTTGAATAATTTATCATAGTATTTCTTGCTGAGCCTTTTCTCCCTGAAAGAAAAAAAATGTTATGGATCAAGCTGACAAAACAACACAAAATGGGAAGATGTTTGAAAGGCAGGAATACTTGAAGGCTTGTTCTACATAATTACTAAGCGGAACGGGAAGCAATTGAATGCCGCTGACATAAAATGCTTACATTCATGGGAATAACGTAAAATGGGGATAACCTATGCATGTCGACTCAGATGTAAATCCCATTGAGTTTAATGGAATTTACTACTAGGTAGGTAAATGGAGGCTATCTCAGAGTAAGGTGTATTCTGCTCAATGTCTCTTATTTCAAAGAAAAGAAACACAAGCTTGTGCTATTAAACAAAATTATAATAGTTTGGAACATGACTTCTTTGAGGCCATCTTTTTTTAAAAAAAAAAAACTAGCAATCTGCAGCATTTTCAAGATAGGATTATACTAAATGTGAATTGAAATTCGTGTTACAAAAAGGAAAGAATGAGCTCAAGTACAGCCCAAGTTACCAGTTCATGTCAGCTTCGTCTTCTTCTTTCCACAAGAATCTATGGTTTTCTCGTATAATATCAAGATCGGTCTTGTCATCCTGTCTGTCAAAAGAATAAGGCATGCCTATGTATCAAATGAATTCTTTAAAATGACATGTTTTCTTTTATTTTAGCCTCTTGTGAGTATTTCATAAAATCATGGGCCCTCCAGTCCAACCCCCTGCCAATAAGCAGGAAAATTGCATTCAAAGTACCCCCAACAGATAGCCAGAGGGCCTCTGTTTCAAAGCCTCCAAAGGAGCCTCCATCACACTCCAGGGCAGAGAGTTCGACTGCTGAACAGCTCTCACACATAAAAAGTTCTTCCTAATGTTCAAGTGGAATCCCCTTTCCTGTAGTTTGAAGCCATTGTTCCACGTCCTAATCTCTAGGGCAGCTCCTTCCTCCCTGTGACTTCCCCTCACATATTTATTCATGGCTATCATGTCTCCACTCAGCCTTCTCTTCTGCAGGCTAAACATGCCCAGCTCTTTAAGCCACTCCTCACAGGGCTTGTTCTCCAGAACCTTGATCATTCGAGTCACCCTCCTCTGGATACATTCCAGCTTGTAAACATTTCCTTTAAACTGTGGTGTCCAGAACTGGACACAGTATTCCAGGTGTTGTCTGACCAAGGCAGACTAGAGGGGTAGCATGACTTTCTTGGATCTAGACACTAGACTCCTATTGATGCAGGCTAAAATCCCACTGGCTTTTTTTGCTGTGCGCATGACATTGTTGGCTCATGTTCAATTTGTTGTCCACGAGGACTCCAAAATCTTTTTCATACATACTGCTGTCGAGCCAGGCATTGTCCTCCATTCTGTATCTTTGCATTCCATATTTTTCTGGCTAAGTGGAGTATCTTGCATTTGTCCCTGTTGAACTTCATTTTGCTAGTTTTGGCCAATCATCTCTCTAATCTGTTAAGATCGTTTTGAATTCTGCTCCTGTCTTTTGGTGTATTAGCTATCCATCTCAATTTGGTGTCATCTGCAAACTTGATATCATGCCTTTTAACTGTTCATCTAAGTCATTAATAAAGATGTTGAACAGAACTGGGTCCAGAAAGGAATCCTGCGGCAAATATACTAAAAAGTATATTTATAGCCGCTGTTGCTAAAAGGACTAAGCAGCTAACATACAAAAATTACGCAATAAAAAAAAACCTACAGCACTCTTCCCTACTCATATACAGAAATAAAGAATAGGGATAGGGAAGAGAAATCAGGGAAAACATAAGCATCCAACCCCAAATAGTTAGACCAATGAGGAAAGTGGCTTTGGCTGGTTACAAAAGGTCTGAAGCTAGCCCTGAGCTCAGTTTGGAAAAATGTGGCATTCTGGCATTCTTTCTTCCACGTGAGACTAGCTGTTTGGCACTGGGATCAAATAGGGAATGTTAACCTTCATCTCCTATTTTCGTTTCTCTGTACTGCTGCCTTGTTCCCAAACAGAAGATAAGAGAATGTGTAAACAGGTCACAACTGGCAAGAAAAAATGGGAAAGTGCGAAGTATGAAATGAAAAATACGAGAGAAGATTTTGAAGCCCCTCTCAGAGCAGGGCTTTCCAAATTCTGCAAATCTGCAGCCTGTGCAACTTCTAGAAAAAAAGACTACCGCAGTTATTCTGTACTCACCCTGAACGTTTGAAGTCTTCTTTTTTACCACCATAGTATAAAATATAGTCATTCACCAATTTCTTATGCCTTGCATACTGACAGAATTAAGGAATTCAACTGCAGAATTTATCATCTTATCGGCAAATTGCCAATATGGAACAAAAAAAAGTTCTAAAGGTAAGGTAAAGGTTTCCCCCTGACATTAAGTCCAGTCATGTCCGCCTCTGGGGTGTGGTGCTCATCTCCATTTCTAAGCCCAAGAGCCAGCGTTGTCCGTAGACACCTCCAAGGTCATGTGGCTAGCATGACTGCATGGAGCACCGTTACCTTCCCGCCGGAGCGATACCTATTGATCTACTCACATTTGCATGTTTTCGAACTTCTAGGTTGGCAGAAGCTGGGGTTGACATCGGAAGCTCACGACACCCCCTGGATTCGAACCTGCGACCTTTTGGTCAACAAGCTCAGCAGCTCAGCACTTTAACACACTGTGCCACCGGGGGCTCTATTTATCATCTTATCAGCAAATTTATCATCTTATCAGCAAATTGCCGATATGGAACAAAAAAATAGTTCTACAATATGACAAACTACTAAGAAACAGAATCTAATGCTGTATTTATTGACAATAAAGTTTAAGTTCACCTGACAGCGAAGAAAATTTTGAGTCTTTTCCCCTTTGCTGCAGTTCTCTATGTTATGTCCCAAGTAGTTTTAAATAGCCTCTTGATCCAATGCAGAGGGAAGACATTTCATTGCATGGGCAGCTTTCAATGACCACAATTTTGAGTAAATTTTGCATTTGGATTGACGGATGGATACAGCTATTCAGAGCATAGTACATCATGGTTTCTTTACTTTAATCAAGGCTCACACAATAAGAATGGGAAAATCCAGATCCAAGGCTGGAAGCCTGCATTTTCTTTTCTTTTTTTCAATTTCAACAAATATAGAAATGTAGGATTTGATGCTCACTTTCAATTGCTAAACTACAATTAGAATTCAGAAAGTGTCAGTACTAGATCAGAATATAAAAGGAGGACATATTTTGGATTGAAAAGTAAAGGGGGGGGGGGCTTTTCTCATGATTAAACCACGTTTAGAAAGGTGCAACAAGCTCTATGTGGGGTTGCTTGTGAAGACTGTTCGGAAGCTTGAGGCCAACAGGTGGCAACCAGATTCCACACTGGAGCAGCCTACAGGGATCATACAACTCCCATTACATCAGCTTCGCTGGCTACCAGTCTGCTACCGAGCACAATTCAAAGTGCTGGCTTTAACCTATAAAGCCCTATACTAGTGCTTCTCAACCTGTGAGTCCCCAGGTGTTCTGGCCTAAAACTCCCAGAAATCCCAGCCAGTTTACTAGCTGTTAGGATTTCTGGGAGTTGAATGCCAAAAACATCTGGGGATCCTCAGGTTGAGAACCACTGCCCTAAATGGTTCCGGCCCAGCTTAAATGTTTGAACGTATCTCCCTCTATGCACCATCTTGGAGATTAAGATCTTCTGGTGAGGCCCTGCTCTCGGTCCCACCTCTCTGCAGGCACAACTGATAGGGACAAGAGACAGGGCCTTCTCAGTGGTGGCCCCCCAGCTGTGGAACTCCCTCCCCAGTGAAATTCGATCAGTTCCCTCCCTCCTGATCTTTATAATGAAATTAAAAATGTGGCTGTGGGACCAAGCTTTCAGATAGTAATTCTTCAGTGCAACAAGTGAATACGGAATAGTGCAATTACGACTGGAATGGCTCTTGTCATAATTGCATTTTGGATTGAGTGATTTTAGTAATTGGTTTTAATGTTGAGACGTTTTTAACTGATGGTTATTAATGTATATGTTTATTTTATTTGCATGTCTGTTTATGAGGCACCAGACTGTTGTCTACTTGTAAGCCACTCTGAGTTCGCTTCAGGGTGAGAAGGGTGATGTATAAATATAGTGAATAAATAAACAAATAAATAATATTGCAACCCCAATTACAGATGTCACTTACAAGTCTTATTAATCCCTTTCAAATCCAAACTCGCCTTTGGCAACTTCCCAGTAGATGTCATTAACATGCTAGAACAGCTTATCTTTGGAAGCCTTCCTACGCACACAAAACTTACTGATAATTTAACTTCACTTGAACAACTAGCTATGTAAAGGTCCCTTCTTATTCTTTCCAAAAAAGAACCAGATATCTGGAAAGCTGCCACTCCCGCCTCTGCATTATGAAACATAATTCAAAACATATTTTGTAAACAAAATATCAAGCAAAACTGAAACCATATGCAAAGTCTAGGTATTCTGAGAATACATCTAAAAAGAAAACAGAGCAAAATCATAGTGATTTAAATTCATAAACCTAACACTTGGAACAGCTTTAAATATAAATAAGCCCTCATCTCGCTCTTCTCTTCTCTCTCTTTGCTGCCTGTGCTTGGAAACAATTTCCCAGAAACAATTTACATGAAAAAATATTAAGACTAATCTGGTTTCACGGTATTTCACAGATGTCTGTGCTTCATTTGGAATGACAGATGAAAGGAATCCCACCCACTTTTATTATCATGTTTGGGTTTATGAGACTTGAAAAGAACACTAGGAGTAAGGAAGAAGGAAACTAGGATGAAACTGTCTCACTGAAGTCAAACCACTAATCCAGGGGTCTCAAACTAAGTCCCAAAAGCCAGATACGGCCCTCCAAAGTCATTTACCTGACCCTCGCTCAGGGTCAACCTAAGTCTGAAACGACTTGAAAGCACACAACAATAACAATTCTATCTCATCAGCCAAAAGCAGGCCCACACTTCCCATTGAAATACTCATAAGTTTATATTTGTTAAAATTGTTCTTCATTTTAATTATTGTATAGTTTTAAAGTATTTTTTGCACTACAATTAAGATATGTGCAGCATGCATGGGAATTCATTCTTGCTTTTTTCAAATTATAATCCGGCCCTCCAACAGTTTGAAGGACAGTGACCTGGCCCTCTGTTTAAAAAGTTTGAGGACCCCTGCACTAATCCATTAAGGCCGGCCAGCCTCACATGCTACTTTTTGGATATCACAGTTCCTACCTATTTAACCACCCCCCCCCCCCAAAAGAAGGGGTAGATTTTATAGTTGAAACCCTGTGATTATTTTGAGTAATGAAAGATATGTGGATCATGTTTGGTCCAGATTCATCAAAGCTATATAAGAGCCTTTGTGAAACAGACAGACAAACCAACAAGCATGCATACATACTTGGCATTTATATATCAAGATAAGTAAATAAATCTTCCCAATAAAATAATGTTTTTTGGCAAAAAAAAAATCCCAAGTTCAAAATAAACCGGAGGACTTATATTTTATAAATGACTCAATCTATATTTAAAGGATACAGCATCCATTGCTATGAAATGAAATCTTTGATTTCTTGCTTCTTCCCTAGAGAAAAAAGAAAACATTAGTCCAGACTACATGCCATGTGTTTAATTCTGCTCTGAAAAAATGCTCAAATGCAACAAAGTACCTGTCCCATTCATCTGTCGCCACTTGTCTGTGAGCCACCTGGCTCTGCTTTTCCTTCTGGAAGGGCTTTTTGAGTAATGCATCTTCATCTCTTGACAGTCACAATGAAAGAGATAATAATAATAAATGTAAAAATGCAAAATCATATTTTGTAAATTATTAGAAGTACTCGAAATGTCCCTTGAACATTTTTAAAGTACACATCAGCCATCACATATTGCTGCTTCCTTCTCAACAGCAGCTGGGAGATTAACTGAACACCTTATTGATCAAATTGGGGCCTGATGCTTCACATTTACAGGGGGTTCTTTGATTCAGTACACTAGTCACAATTTGTATCACAACCATTTGGCTAAAAGATATTACTGGGAATCAAATGTAATCTATTTGCTCATTAACCATGCTTTGAAAATCAGCGTCTCTGAATGACAGAGAGTGCAGAAACCATAGAAACAGATATCCCAATGAATAAAGTAATCAATGTGAATCACTTGCATTTTGCTAAGTAGAGTTATGTTCATATTAGACTTCCTTGCATAAAGATCGTGCTGGGCACTATAACAAGTGTATATTCAATAAAATGTTGTATGAGATATTTTTAATAAAATTGTAATGTTTATTATCTCATCTTTTATCTCTCCCCCCCCCCCCCATATGACAATGTCTAGCTTTATTTATACCCTGTCTTTAAACTGGGATTCAAGGTAGCTTATAAATTAAAATAAATTGCTTTGAAAGTAGATGTCATACTCCAGAAACTTGGTTTTTGTGGTTACCACGAACTATGTTGAATTGGTTGAGACTCAATGAGATATTTATTGAAAAACTATAGCAACATATGCTGCAGTTTAATTTAAAAAAATCCATGTTTTTATGACAGAACAAATTAGGAAATGACATTTATAACCCAAGTACAAAAATTGTGTAACATAGTGTTTAAAAAATGCAACAGATTGGGCAGTACTGATGGAATTTATGAAACAAGAAAAAATGAAATGGACAGAAAGGATTCATTATTAGGACAAAAATTTGTTCCCCAGAGAAGAGTGCAACGAAGAGAGAAGCGGAAAAATATAATGACCTGGGAAAAGGACAATAAAAACAACTGTGGAGAAGATTGGAAATCAATTTTTTTAGGGTTTTTTTCTTCTCTCCACCCATCCATTTTTCTTAACCCCACCAATTTTGTCCCACATTTTTTTCTTCTTTTCTTTTCTCAGCAATATGCCTAATACAATGTTCTGGTTGCAGATGACACGATAAATATATATATAGCAATATACCCTCAAAATGCACTTTACCACTGATTTAGGACTGTGTTCCCTCATCTCTTTGAAAAACCCTACCCCAGTTATATCATACCTTGTTCATGCCCAGCATTATTTTTTAAATTTTAAATTATTACATTTGGCCCAGCCATAGAATTTTAAATGCTTGTGTGTTACTGTTATTGTTTATTTTTTGTTTATGTGATTTATATTAATTGTTTTTTATTTATTGTTTTTGTTATTGCCTTTGTATATACTGTGGGCTTGGCCTCATGTAAGCCGCACCGAGTGCCTTGGGGAGATGGTAGCGGGGTATAAATAAAGATTATTATTATTATTATTATTATTATTAGACTTCTTAGATGTGTAATATACCTACCCTTTCCCCCCATTTTAAAACATTGTTAAAATGACAATTTTACTTCTTCAATAAAAAATATTTATTAAAAAAAACCAAATGTGGATAGGTGGGCATATTTAACTGCAGAAAGCAGAGTCAGTTAGAAGTAACTATCTAATAATGTCAGCATATTATTTCCTTCTAGCAAGTGTCTTCATCCAACAACACAGCCAGCTTCCACCTGGCCTTGGCTACTCTTGATGAATCCTGTGCCAGAAGAGGAGTCAAGCAGAGAGGCCAGCCAATACTCTATACACTTCTTGGAGAGATGGAACACAGAACAGCAAGAAATGAGGTAGCATGCAGCCACTAGATGAATGGCAGCTCCCTTTTTCTTTCTTTCACTCTCCCTCGACTCCTTGGAAGATAGCAATCTTTGACAAGGCAAAGGGAGAATAGAAGCACACATGAGACAAACTTTATGATCTTGCTTATGCAATGTGTTTACCTATTTTTCTGTTTGTTGGCTTTCTCTCCTGTTTCTTCATCACTGAAATCAGAGTCATAGCCACCATGTCCAAGGATCTGGAAAAAATGATGAAAGTGTGTGTAGAATGTGATACGTTTGAGCATTATAAAAATAACGCCTTTAAAGCTCACTCTCACAGTCCCCCACTCAATCTATTTCCAAAGTCTAAATCTAATACAACATTTAAGAGAGTTTTGTGTAATGGCTTCATGCACAAATGTTGGAGTGTGCTGTGCAGAATTCTGCATGTGGTTTCCCATAAAGGAGGAGGAGATGCCATGATCAACCAATAATCACAATACTGGGGATGGGGAAGATATACAGGGTCATATCCAGCAGTTAATCCAGTGTTTTTCAGTGAGAAAATATTGGTAAAAAACACTGAAATAGTGTATAGTACTAATAGGCATGCCTCTTTGCACATCCTTCTTCCTTATAGAGAACAGACAGAGGGCTACTTTATCTCCTTCTGTCTTTTCCAATAAATTCCCAGGACAGCTGAACGTAAGAAGAAACATGAGAGTGCTAACAGTGATTGTATTCTTTTGCACATTTCCATGTCACTCACAAGAGGTTGCAAAGACACATTGCATACAAATCAAATTTTTATCAGTGGAAAATCCTGTAGTAACAAACAAATATCATTGTTGTGGACACTTTTTCCTCTGGAGATATATTCATTTGATTGAGAAACATTTTATCACCCAGTCCATCACTGATTTCTTCATCCTATCAATGTTCTTTCAATGAATGAATGTGCCTTGTTCAGGTCATACCTGTTCAATGAAAGCCTCCAAGTACAATAATGATATTCTACATTTAGCTCCAAGTTGTTTTCTTATTCTAACACTGGAATATACTATCTATTTCCATTTCTTCTTTTTCACAGGCAAGCACAGGGCCCTTCCAGACAGGCCCTATATCCCAGGATCTGATTCCAGGTTTTCTGTTTTAATGTTGTTTGAAACTGCATTATATGGTCTGTATAATACAATGGATTATATGAATCCCCACTGCCAGAAAATCTGGGATAAACAGAAAACCTGGGATCAGATCCTGGGATATAGGGCCTGTCTGGAAGGGCCCACAGTTCCATTGCAGCACATTCTTCCTTCTCTTACTAGAACCACAATATGTAATAAAATGTATCATACATTTATGTTCACAAGGAAAGTGGCACTCTGATACAAAAATGTGGATGTTATTAAGCAACATAACTTCTTTTTTAAAACTTTCCTGAATATTTTTTTCTTAACATGTACTCTGGCCTCCACTCAGAGTTTGTTCATCAAAACTGAATAAATCTTTTCCTCAACTACATATCATATGCTGGAGTGTGTCACATAATGCTTGTTGACCTGCACCAACTGCATTATATGGATCTACACTGACCATATAATGCTATTCAAACTATATTATATGGCAGCATAGATTCAACCATAGTCTAATATGTAAGCTACATATCCAATCCAGAAAATAACATAGGAAGATGAAATGGTGGTGAACAGTATGTTTTTTTCCTTCAACTTTCAATGCAGGCTTCTGGTTATAAAACACTTGTGAACAATAACAGAGTGTTGTTATTATTATTCCATATGAAAAAAGATATACAGACCACCAGAATAATAAGCCTCCTTATGATGGAAACACACAGCCCTCCCTATTTTTCAACAATCTGGGACTAGATTCAATCTCTTAAAGGAGCATCTTTCTACCCAGAATACTGTCCAACCTCTCAGAAGAGCACCTCGTTTCTTTGTACCTTTCTCCTAGAGCTGCTGATGAAAACTGCAATTTACATAGGTTCTCTAAAGTGATTACATGCTTTTTCAGTAGTAATTTAAGACAAACATAATGCACACTTTGTAACAAAACCAGGATAAGATTAAAGGGGAGTAGAAACATGATCACAAGTCATTTTTAAATCTGAAAGCTGACCCCTGTCATATCTGATAAAGAAAGGCTATAGCTTAATCCCAGTGATACAATTTGCTTGCACATGGGTGGGCAAAAAGTGGGTATGAGTGGAGACACTTTGCCCTCCATATTTGGATAAATTACTACTCTCATTAGATTTATTGTATATAGTCATGTATAAGTTGAGGGCAGGTTTTGAGCTAAAATTATGCAGCTTGATATGACCCATGGATAAAATCTGTGCAGAAAGGCAAGCACCCCGCTGCCCCTGGCAACTGCCACCATTTACCCATCCAGATATTCAAAGAGGCCAGAAGTTAGACCACAGAGGAAAGGGTAGAAGGGGCTAATACTTTTATTAGGTTTTCATGAAACAAGACCTGAAAGCTCTTGCCTTTTGTCACTCTACTTAGAGAAGGGGATGGCTCCTTTTTCGATTACAGTTAAAGTACAGTATTCACATTGTCCTGTAAATAAGTAGATCTGGGTTTTGGAAATTGATTTTCAACTACAATGTTTAGACTTACACGTAAGTATTCAGGGCAACGATTTACCAAGCTAATGGGATTGGAATTAAACCATACTGGGAGAGTCAAATGGTTCCTTAGTTCTGCTGTAGGAGCCTGGATGGCGCACACGCTATGGACAATGCGGCTTCCCTTAAGGCAGTGGTTCTCAACCTTCCTAATGCCACAACCCCTTAATACACTTCCTCATGTTATGGTGACCCCCAACCATAATATTAGTTTCATTGCTACTTCATAACTGTCATTTTGCTGCTGTTATGAATCGTAAATATCTGATATGTAGGATGTATTTTCRTTCACTGGACCAAATTTGGCACAAATACCCAATACACTCAAATTTGAATACTGGTGGGATTGGGGGAGGGTATTGATTTTATCCTGTGGGAGTTGTAGTTGCTGGGATTTATAGTTCACCTACAATCAAAGCACATTCTGAACTCCACCAACGATGGAATTAAATCAAACTTGGCACTCAGAACTCCCATGACCAACAGAAAATACTGGAAGGGTTTGGTGGGCATTGATCTTGAGTTTGGGAGTTGTAGTTCACCTACATCAAGAGAGCACTGTGGATTCAAACAATGATGGATCTAGACCAAACTTGGCACGAATTCTCAATATGCCTAAATCTAAACACTAGTGGRGTTTGGGGAAAATAGACCTTGACATTTGGGAGTTGTAATTGCTGGGATTTATAGTTCACCTACAATCAAAGAGCATTCTGAACCAACGATTGAATTGGCCCAAACTTCCCACACAGAACCTCCATGACCAATAGAAAATATTTTGTTTTCTGGTGGTCTTTGGTGACCCCTCTGACACCCCCTAGCGACCCCTCCAGGGGTCCCGACCCCCAGGTTGAGAAACACTGCCTTAAGGCATTTACAAGATGAGATTTAAGATTGGGGTGTATCCAGGAAATTCTGAAAAGATGGGTTTCCATTTTTCATTGGTGCATGAGTATATTCAGTTGTTCTTTTCTCACCATCTATAACTTATGCATCCAAAGAGTCAAGGATGTGGCAGACCCATTCCTCTACCCAGGTTCAGCCAGCTTTGTTCAGACATGAAACATTACATAACACTAAAAATTCCTTTTTGTGAAGGTAGCAATGTTCTTAAGATAAGAATACAAAGTGAAAGAGAACTATTTTTAAGTCAAATGTATTGATTTTAATATGTCTGAATTCTGCTCTTGCTCCAAGACTCCCAAAGAGTCATGCTCATGATATACATTTTACATGTAGAATCTTGTGAAGACTACAATGAAAGTAACTATAGTAATCAGTGAGCTTCTTTTGAACCCTATGAGATACTCTGCCTGCCACATCATGCAATTTCTAGTGCGAGCTATGAGATTATTTCTGGAATATTATGATTTATAAAACGGACTTAAGTATCAGGAATGCAAAGTTTACACACTATGATTTTAGAAGCAAGAAACACAAATCTGCAAACATAAAGATCACATAATCAAATGGCATTACAGCCATTAGAGGTATGCCTCTGTTAATAAATTGATATGGTCCCGGGCATGACTTCTTTAACATGAAAGTTGGTACCAGAAACAGAAATAACATGGAAACTATTGGGGATAAGGTTCCTGCACCACAAAGAGGAAGAGTGTTTCAAACATTCCAGCAATCCAAAATAGCTAAGTATGTGAGAAATTAATGCAATAAAGTTAAAAAAAACTTTTCAATAAATAACCCAAAACATTTGGTGCTCTACAGAGACCACTTAAGCCTCTTCTACACTGCCATATAACATCCAGATTATCTGCTTTGATAATCTGGATTATATGACAATGTAGAAGGGGCCTTAAAGTCTGCTTCCAGGGATGCAGTTTGTTCACTAGTCTCAACTTTTCTTATGATTTCCATGTTAGTGGCTAAACTAACAGATCTATTACTTTTTTTAACATGCGGGGCAAGCTGGCAAGGCAACTTTTCTGCTGCATTTTTTTTCTGTTGTGTTGTCCAAACATGATCAGCAAAAGGATGCATCTATATTGTAGAGTGAATTCAGTTTGACACTGCTTTAATTCCCACAGCTCAGTGCAATAGCATCATGGGGCATTGTAGTTTCACAAGAACCTTAGCCTTCTCTGCCAAGGAGGGCTGGTGCCACACCAAACTGCAAGTCCCAGGACCCCATAGCATTGAGCCATGGCGGTTCAAGTGGTATCAAAATACACTACGGAAGAACTCTGGGATTCTGGAGACACAATCAGCTATAATTGGATCCCACTCTTTCCCAGGACCCTTCCACACAGCCCTATATCCCAGAATATCAAGGCAGAAAATCTCATAATATCTGCTTTGAACTGGGTTATCTGATAATGTGGGATTTTCTGCCTTGATATTCTGGGATATAGGGCTGTGTGGTAGGCCCCTTCTATACTGCCATATAATCCAGATTATCAAAGCAGGTAATCCACATTATCTGCTTTGAACTGTATTACATGATGTCCCTTCTACACTGCCAAATAAAATCCAGATTATCTGCTTTGAACATATATGGTAAATATAATCCAGTTGAAAGCAGATAATATGGATTATCAGTTTTGATAATCTGGATTATATGGCTGTGTGATAGGGGTCTGAGTCTACAATGCCATATAATCCAGTTCAAAGCAGGTAATCTGGATTTTATATGGTAGTGCAGAAGGAGGCTTTCTCAGATCACTTCCAAACAGCTGTATAAAATCCACATTGAATTGGATTATATGGCAGTGTGGACTCAGGTAACCCAATTAAAAACAGATATTGTGGATGATTTGCCTTGATATTCTGGATTATTTGTCTGTGTAGTAGGTGCCTGAGTCTACACTGGCAAATAATCCAGTTCAAAGCAGGTAATCTGGATTTTATATGGTAGTGCAGAAGGGGGCTTTCTCAGATCACTTCCAAACAGCTGTATAAAATCCAAATTGAATTGGATTATATGCCAGTGTGGACTCAGATAACCCTGTTCAAAGCAGATATTGTGGATTATCTGCCTTGATATTCTGGGTTATATGGCTGTGTGAAAGGGGCCGTTCTCAGTTGAAGCTTTATTCTGTTCCAAACTTCTCCAGCCCTCCTTCATCTCTCAATGCCAATGCTGCTAAAAAGCTCCCGGCTAGACAGAGGAAGATGGAGCCTCCGGTGGCGCAGTGGATTAAAGCACTGAGTTGCTGAGCTTGTTGACCGAAAGGACACAGGTTCGAATCCGGAGAGCGGGGCAAGCTCCCGCTGTTAGGCCCAGCTTCTGCCAACCTAGCAGTTTGAAAACATGCAAATGTGAGTAGATCAATAGGTATTGCTCCGGTGGGAAGGTAACGGCGTGCCATGCAGTCATGCTGGCCACATGACTCTGGAGGTGGAGGAGGAGGAGGGCAGGTTGGATTATTTAAACTGCTTCAATGGACCACATTCATGGAGCTTGGAAGGCTCTTACTGATGGAATTGGATTAAAGGATTCTGTCTTCAATGGATCCAGCTGTATTTCACCTACTATTGTCCAGCAGTTCGGCTATCAGCGCAGAGCGTCTGATGATGGGAAACTTTCAGATTCCTCCAAGACAAGTAATACCATTCGTGTTTTTTTGCCAAACAAGTAACGCACAGTGGTGAATGTGCGCAATGGAATGACCCTCCACGATTGCCTTATGAAAGCACTGAAAGTTAGAGGACTGCAGCCAGAATGCTGTGCTGTTTTTAGATTGCTTAATGAACACAAAGGCAAGAAAGCACGACTGGATTGGAATACAGATGCTGTCTCCTTGATTGGAGAAGAAATGCAAGTAGACTTCCTTGATCATGTTCCACTCACAACACACAACTTTGCACGAAAGACATTTCTAAAGCTTGCATACTGTGACATCTGTCAGAAGTTCTTGCTAAATGGATTCCGGTGTCAAACATATGGTTATAAATTCCATGAACACTGCAGCACAAAAGTACCGACAATGTGTGTGGACTGGAGCAACATCCGGCAACTGTTATTATTCCCACACTCAAATGTTGGTGAGAGTGGTATGCCGGCCCTACCTCCTTTGACAACACGGCGAATGCGGGAATCTGTATCCCGAATACCTGTTAATTCTCAGCACAGATATTCTACACCTCATGCCTTCACATTCAGCCCGTCAAATCCTTCTCCTGAATGCTCCCTTTCTCAGAGACAGAGATCTACATCAACCCCAAATGTCCATATGGTCAGCACTACTATGCCTGTGGATAATCAGATAATTGAGGACTTTGGAGGTGTCTACGGACAACGCCGGCTCTTTGGCTTAGAAAAGGAGATGAGCACCACACCCTAGAGTTGGACACGACTGGACTTCATGTCAGGGGAAACCCTTTGCCTTTACTAGACAGAGGAAGAAGAGGGTGAGTGACAGGTATGACTGTATTCCACCTTTCTATGTTTCGGGCCCATTTTATTTTACTAGATGAACAAGGACCCTTCCGCACAGTCATATAACTCAGAATATCAAAGCAGATCATCCATAATATTGCTCTGAACCGGCTTATCTGAGTCCACACTGCCATAGAATCCAGTTCAATGAGGATTTTACACAGTTTTGTGGAAGGGGTCTCAAGAAACAACCCCTTTTTTCTTATTCTTATCCCAATCCTTCTCCTTCAGAAGAAACATCCCCACTCTGGTTCCCCCCGCCCTTTCCCTCCGCCCTGAGTTACTTACAGAGCTGGAGAGTTTCATTTCGGGCCGTTCTCTGCGATGAAGTGTTCCCGCTCTGTGTTGGGGAGGAAAACCCGGACTGTTTTGGCCTGGGCTCCACCGCGCCCCTCGCCATAAAGGGCCCGGACGGAAACTCCAGCTGCGATCCGAAGGTTCCGGTCAGGCAAGGCTCGCCTTTCCTTCTCTTGAGTTGAGCGACCTTTGGAGACTGGGGAGAATCAGGACAAACAGCACCTCTTCCTTCTTTGAAAAGCAGCAAAACAGAAGAACGTTTTACCCTGAAGGAGGATAAAAGGCATCTGTAATTTGCTTCTACTGCTCTTTGAATCAGTGTCCTCCTCTATGGCCCCTTGAGAATGATTGCATTGCCTTCTGAGGGCCCTTCCAGGCAGGTCCTATATCCCAGGATCTGACCCCAGGTTTTCGACTTTAAACTGGATTATATGAATCCCCACTGCCAGATAATCTGGGATAAGAAAATAATCCGGAACCAGATCCTGGGATATAGGGCCTGTTTGGAATGGCCCCAAGGCCCTAATAATATAATATATCTATATAAACAAAAATGTAATGTTCATTTTGGGATTAACATAATTCAAAAACCATTGGACGAATTGACACCAAATTTGGACAGCATACACCTAACAACCCAATGTATGTCCTTCACTCAATTTTTTTTTGATTTTCCCATTTGGGAGTTGTAGTTGCTGGGATTTACAGTTCACCTACAATCAAAGAATATTCTGAACCCCACCAAGGATGGAATTGAAACAAACTTAGCACACAGTTCTCCCATGACCAACAGAAAATCCTGGAAGGGTTTGGTGGGCAGTTTCCTTTGGTTTTGGAGTTGTAGTTCACCTACATCCAGAGATCACTGTGGACTCAAACAATGATGGATCTGGACCAAACTCTACATGAATACTCAATATGCCCAAATATGAACACTGGTGGAGTTTGGGGAAAATAGAATCTTGACATTTGGGAGTTGTAGTTGCTGGCATTTGTAGTTCACCTACAACCACAGAGCATTCTGAATCCCACCAACGATAGAATTGGGCCAAACCTCCTACACAGAATCCCCATGTGGGACACAGCAACACGTGGCAGGGGACGGCTAGTCTATATAGATAAAAATGTAATGTTCATTTCTGGGATTAACATAATTCAAAAACCATTGGATGAATTGACACCAAATTTGGACAGCATACACCTAACAACCTAATGTATGTCCTTCACAGAACCCCCATATGGGCCATAGCAACACGTGGCAGGGGACAGCTAGTAATATATTGTATGTAAGTGTGTGTGTGTGTGTCTGTGTGTGTGTCTGTGTGTGTGTGTGATATATAATCTTGTAAGCCGCTCTGAGTCCCCTTCAGGGTGAGAAGGATGGCATATAAATGTCGTAAATAAATAAATAAATGAGCCCCCTTCCACACATCTGAATAAAATCCTATATTATCAGCTTTGACCTGGAATATATATCAGTGTGAACTCAGATAACCCAGTTCTCCAGGATCTGATCTCAGGTTTTCTACATTAAACCGGATTATATGAATCCGCACTGTCAGACAATTTGGGATAAACAGAAAATGTGGCATGTCTGGAAGGACCCTATGTAACAACTTTTGTTCCTGGGTTATAAATGTCATTTTATAATTTGTTGTATCATAAAACATCTATATAAATAAAAATGTAACGTTAGTTCGTGGGATTAACATAATTCAAAAACCATTGGACGAATTGACACCAAATTTGGACACAATACACCTATCAGGCCAACGAGTGGCCATCACTCATAAAAACACTGAAAAACACAATGGAAGGGACTTCAAAAGCCAAAAAAGCAAAAAGACGCTACAGCGCATGTGTAAAAACGACTCCCTCTGGCAAACAAAACACACAATACCATATCCACACTCTCTTCCAGACTACAGTTCCCAGCATCCCCTAGACCACGCCTTTTAGGAGAGGAGGATGATCCAAATGCACTGATTCCAAGCTGCAAGCTTTCTTCTCCTTGGATTTCTTTGAGAGCCTCCCAATCCCTACATATTTCCAATTTCCTATTCCCAAACTAAAACTCCCAGCAATCCTCCAGATAGATAGATGAGATAGGTAGGTAGGTGGATCAGGAGGACTGCTGGGAGTTGCAGTGACCGCATCTGTTTTTGGCAAATCCATGCTTGCTCTTACTGATCACTGTGGCCTTTTCTACACTGTCATATAATTCAGATTGTCAAATCAGATAATCTGCTTTGAACTAGATTATATGAGTCTACACTGCCTTATAATCCAGTTCAAAGCAATAATCTAGATTTTATATGACAGTGTAGAAGGGGCCTGCATTGTTACAGGATACTTGCAGGCAGACTTCAGTGAAACCCATTTTAATATCCCTGACAAGCTTTAGTTTCCTGGATCACTTTTTTTTTTGCGTTTTTTTTAAAGGACAATGTTTACTTGTCTCCAGTTCTCTGGCATTTCATCCATTTCCCCAGATTTCTTAAAAATGCTGGCAACCATTCTTCACATCTTTTATTATACAATGATTTTTACTGTGGCTTCCATCTTCTTCAGCTTTTCCTATATAATTCATTTTAGAGCTTACTTTTGGACAGATGTTTGTGCTATAATAATAATAATAATAATAATAATAATAATAATAATAATAATTCTTTATTTCTACCCCGTCACCATCTCCCCGATGGGGACTCGGAGCTGCTTACATGGGGCCAAGCCTGGACAACATAATACAGCAATAAAATCAAAGCATATACAACAGACAACAACAACATTATCAAAATGACATTAATAATAATAATAATAATAATAATAATAATAATAATAATAATATAAAAATTCCAATAGACATAATAACAATAGAGATTACAATGGGCGGGCCACATATTCCGAATAAAAACAATTAACAGACTATGATGAGATAAAATAGGAGCAGGACGTTTAAATGGAACTCATAAAACACACAGTGTTGTGGGACACGACATCCTATTTGGAGGGCACAAACTCCATTAGCCGAAAAAGGGGGTGTAAAATATCATGCTGTGCACCTACTCGCTAAAAGCGCAGTGGAAAAGCCAGGTTTTGCTATCATTCCCAACTGCTCAAAGCTTTAGTTTAAAGACATTTTGATCAGATTGGCCATTTATAATTGTGATAGGTTTGAATTTACAGTGCTAACAAATCTTAAGGGTTTTTTTAAATAAAAAAAGCAACAATATTGAAGTCATTAATCAGTTTCTCTGTCAAAACTTTTCATCACTATACCCCAGCAATAAACTTTTTCAGGCAGTGAGACAGTTCCAAAATGTGCCAACCTCTTGCCAGCAAAAGAAAATTACTTCCATAGGGATTTAACTAGCTTCAGTGAAGCAATTACCTTTTCTGCTAGTAGCAGCAAAACAAACAGATCAATTCCTTGAAAAGTGTGAGTTTTATTCTTCCTGTGCGGGACTAATTAAACGTGAGCAGATCTCCATAAATTTTCCCAATGAATAACTGAACAACGATACAAGCAGCTTGTAACTAATTTACAACGCCATAAAACCTTCCAGCAGCATGCAGAAAAATGAGGAAGTTCTCCATCAAAGGACTCGGTGTCACAAGTGGACAGTGAAGCGGCAGCTCTCCCTGTGGCTGGAATAGAGCATACGCTCATGAAGCCGGAAAAGCTGGAATGTTAAATTGCTTCTGTGTCTGTCTATATATGTGATATGTCTAAATGGCATTGAATGTTTGCCACGTATACGTGCATTGTAATCCACCCTGAGTCCCCTGTGGGGGGAGAAGGGCGGAATATAAATACTGTAAATAATAATAGTAATAACAATACATGCATTCAATGGCACATTTTAGCATCCTGTAATGACAAGTAAAGCAGCAAACCTATTTCAATTTACGGAAAATAAACCTTGCTGGATTGATGGTACTCTTACTAAGTAGAAGTGTATAAGATTATACTGAGAAATAAATAAAGCCTGAATACCTATTGGCATCTGCCTATTGGAGTTAGAAGTTTAGATTTCAGTAAAGAAAAAGTAGTGGAATTTTACTTGATTGGAAATGAATTTTAAACTGTCCAGTGTTTTGTTTGTTTGACTGTTTACTTGGTTATTTTCTCCCAATATGCCTTCCCTCTGACCTTAATGGAGCATAAGTTTTTTCTCCTGTTATTGTTTGCTTGGATTTATTACAAGCAAGACCTGCTAAATGTAAACATCCCTAGGATTACAGACTGAAACTTCGCAAATTATACAACAGATGTTGCATTCAGTAATTTGCTGACATGTAATAAGCATCGTAAAGAACCAATGTGATCACTATAATAATTCTGGTGACTATTATATAGTCTGCCAATCTTAGTAAAACTTTTAATACACCTTTTCTTAACTATCTTGATTTTGTAAAAATAAGAGATAACCATTAGTTGTTCTCTTAGCATATATAATGTATAAGCAATGTATCTCTGTATACTACACACACACACACATACACGACATATAACTAAAAATCTAAAGATAGTTTTTGAGTTTCATCTAAGTCTTTCTCCAGACAAAAAAAATGAAAAGAGTTGGGCAGAGAAAATTATGTTAGAAGCACCATCTGTAATGTGTTAGCTGTCATAAAATGACAGAGTAGAATTTGCTTTGTTCATGAATTGGATTAGTTTATGCCACATCCAATAAAAGGATTGTCGGTTGTATTAAAGTATACTAACAAAACATACACAGGCATTCACAATGCCCTATTGCTATTTCAAATACATAGGCTAGCAGTTTTCTTTTTTCAATTTTTCATGGCTTGGACAGTGGAGTTGGAAAGATCTAGGCTTTCTTGTGTCCTTTGATTCTTTTCTCTATTGGCTCATGCTTTTTCTCCAGTTCGAAGTGTGAGGTCGTAACAGGCACATAGCTACTAATTAGTACTTTGTGGTTATTTATTCCAGGGGCATTTCACACTATACAAATATCGAGTTGTGATTCCAAGTTAAATGAAGAGTTGCCCTTTCATGGAGTTTGGTGAGGTTCTGCAGGTATGAATTCGAAATACATCTCTCAACTAGAAATCCCAGGGTTCCATGTGATGAAACCATG